CCGGGCTTATTGATATTGCAGGGCTCAGGCTTTCCGGTAGGTTTAACAATTCTGCTCACGTTGACCCCAAACAGAGATCATGTGTGCCCAGGGGTTCAACAGCGATGACAGTTTCGCATTTCGCGAGCCCAGACGTCCAAAAGCGATGAGAGATTGACCTTTCGCGAGCCCAGAAGCCACAAAGTGAAGAATGTCAAGGACGGCAAACGCGCATCTGCGCCACAGACGAGCGGGCGATTTTCATCCAAAAAGCGAGCAGGCTTCGAGAAAGCCACACGGTCCGCCGTGGGCGCGCCGCCACACGGCCACATCGACCTACGTAGCCCCCCAGGGCGACCAGATGGAGTGATGGCATAGTTTTGATTGCTGCTCATGTAGGGATGGTTTGTAGCACTTACCATAAAGGCGGGTTTTTTGGTGCAGAAGTCTCTTTTCGTTTGAACCCATATCCTGTTCCAGCTGAGAGGCCACCTACGACCACTTCATGCGCACCAAGATTGGGCAGAAGCAGGTTGCTTTGAGCAGTTTAACACTCAGGCTAGTTGTGAACGCTTCGTGCCATCCTTGTCGCCCTATGTTGTGGGCATGCGAGCCCAGGGCTAGTTTAGCTCTTGAGGCGAGCTTCTGGGTGAAAATCATAGTTTTTAGAAGCTGTGCCATGCCGAAATTTCAGAGATCCGCGGAATGAGACTTTACCGGGGTGTGGGCCATATCCTTAGAACCCCCCTGTATTGCCCTTTCGTCCCTCGCCCCAATAGCGCCAGCACTATGGGAAGATGGCATCCTGACTTAGGGAAGCGTCCCCCCGGCCCCCTACAGTATGGCATCTGGATACGAATGAAGTTCACGTAGCCTGCACGGGCGGAAGGATGCTAGAGTGCTTCGGGGTTCGGCAATTGGATGCAGCGAGGCGCCTGCAACCAAGAAATCCCAACGAAATATCCCAAGCCCAAACAACTTCAGAATTCTTCAGCAAACCCACAGCGAATCTAAGCCTAAGCATTCCAGACGACGTTCGCCACAGCGAATCGCACCTGAAGCCACGGCCCTCCAAGTATCTCTCCGAAGGACCCAGCCTTCTCGCCGATCTTTGACGCTTTGTTTTGCAATTAAGTGCGGGGGATAACGGGACTTCGGTCTTCACCATGTGTGCGCCTACGGTTCCAAGGATTGCTGCAGGGATGAAGGAGTTCAAGCCAAGACTTGGCCCCACTGCAGGGATGCAAGCTTCCATTGACCATGCTTGGCTTGTATTTTCCCGAGCGGTTTTTGGCGCTCGGAAAGAAGAGGGAAAAGCTAGGGGTAGCTTTCGTGGCTCCCGAACTTTGTCGCAACGCGTTTGGCTGCCGTCCAAAATGTTTTGTCAAAACCAAAGGTTTCAAAGACTAAAGGCTGCTTCTCCAGAAGGGGTAACATGTTGCGTCGGGAGGTTCTCTTGTTTGCGCTCGCGGTGCCTCAGGCCGTTGCCAAGAAGGTGCCTGAAGGAGCCCCAGGGCGCGACGGACATGCCTCGCAGTTGACTGGTTCCAGTCGGAGGAACAGTGCGGAAATTGTGAAGACACGCTGACTTGCAACTACTTTGCCGGTGCAGTGAGCTGAATCGCGAAACTCTAACTGTAACTTTGTAGTCGCCAGGGGATTCTGTCGGGTCGCTCCGAACTCTGATTGTTGAATTTGTCGGTGACCTCACCCATGCCCAAGGCGGCCCCCATACTATCCCTAGGCCCTATGGCTATAGGCTCCTTGAGAGCAGCTACAAGGGAGGTACGCGATAGAAGACCGGCTCACTCTCCGAGGGTCACGTTAACGAATCGACGAAGCTTCGATTTTTGAATGGACGTAGCTTGTCGCATCTGTGGCTGTGGCACGTGACATTCTGATGGGACTTGAAGCGAAGACTGAGTAGCACAATCTCCTTGCATCCTTTCTCTTAAGAACAGCGTTGCACCATTTGGCTTGTCTTTCTTGGGCCAGGCTGGGAGCTTGAGAGTGAGGTTGTACCAGGGGCTTCACCGAGGCTCCTTTGTTGGGTTTGTCACATGCCCAGGATGCTTGCCCTGGAGGGGCCCCCCAAGAGCAGTGACAGGTATGTTCGGGGTGCAGCGTAGGGCTTGCTCGCATTGCCTTGGAACACAAGGCAAAGCGGGGGCAACGCCGCTCTCGCGACTCTCGCATGAAAGCGTTCGAGTTTTTGAAGTCACATGAGAACTCGAGGAAATGAAGATAGGTGCAGGGTGCTTGTTTCATGTGGTGGCTGTCTTTGCTTCCTGGATGTCACTATCCCATCATCATACCTGCCGTTCGCTTTGAGATTGAAAAAAGTTAGGGGCGAACGCCAGGGGCAAATGGCTTGGCTACTCTTGCGCGGGTTTAAACCCGAAGGATAGGTAGCCGCCAGGTAGCCTAGCATTCAAGAGGGGCTCCTTGATGGACGGGTGACTTCTGGGTGACTGGGTGACTACGTTTGGGGCAGACGCGTAGGGGCCGTTTTTGTTGAACGCGTGCCTTTGTAGTTGGACCGGTTCGCTTGGAAGGTTGCACAGAGATACGTTGCATGGCTCATCGCAACATTTATCGGGCTGTTTTAAAGTGTCGGCTCTTTCGCTTAGAATCGATTAGAAGTGCCATTTCGTTTCGGCCCCAATCCCGCAGCTGGGACAGGCCCGCGCAAGAGGTGGCAAGGGCGAGCGCAAAGCCCGTTATAGAGCTCCAAGTTCGACAACGTCCAACTTGGAGTGGGTCCATGCGCATGCCTGCTTGGCCATGATGGCATTTTAGCCATCAAAAGCCCATCCTATAGCGTACTAGTTGCATGTCCAGAGCGCGCTAGGGCGCGCGGGAGGCCTGCGTTCTGCAGCTTTCTTCCAACGCAGTTTTTTCTTCCACGTCGCGGGGCCCGTGGGGCTCTTTGCGATTTCAAGGCTTCAACGTGCAGGAACTTTCGCGTTTTGTCAGGATCTGCCCAGGCGTTGTAGTTGGCGGTGAAGGCCAGGCTGAATTTTAAAAGTCTGTCGTCGCTGCTTTATCTCCTGTGCACGGGGACTCCGGTTCCTTGCTTCTGACGCGATCATGCTCGCTCCTTGCTGTCGATGGCCCTAGGCATATGGTCTTGCGTTGGCATGTTTGTTTTGGCTACAGATGACGGTGTTTCGGACTGAGACTGAAGCGTAGGGCTTTCCGTATCAAGCGTGCCTCCGCTCGCTCACAGGGCGGAGTGCGTTAGCATGTGCCGTTTCGCATGCCTTCGAACAGAAGGTCATGGTAGTCGACAACCAAGGTCTGGTCGCTGCCGTGTCATGGGACATTCTCTTAGGACTTGACGGCATAGCGCAGCCAATCCCTCAGCATCCCCTTTCTGACTCGAAGCTCCCCTCCCATGCACTTCTGAGAGATTGCAGCGGGCATTCCCGGAATCCCCTTTGTTGAGATGCCCGGTTCATACTGAGAACATGGCTCGTCGCGACAACTCGGTTCAGGCAATGCGGCAAAACCTTAATGCAAGCCACATCAAGCCACATCATGCCAGCATGCGCCCATATTCGGGCGGCCAATCTTTCCTTGGCACTGTCGTGTTTGAATTGTTTCGATGCCCTCAAAGGGGCGCTTTGAGGCTCTTGATTTGCCGAGCGGCTTGTGCCCGTGCACCGGGCAAACTCCAAGCCGAACCAGCCTGTTGGTGCGGACACTGGAAATTTCAGTTCCTGAGCCTTGAAACTGACATTGTGTATGGTGGGCACTGAGCACTACTCCATCCCTCATATGCAGTATACTTGCAGCCTGCTTGTCAGTCCCAGGGTAGAAGAGTATAAGTATAAGCATATCCTGGGTAGGGGTAAGGCCCCCAAGATCTTGGCGAGAAAAAGCCACAGCCTCAAGCAACCGAGCTTGCACTGTAGGACTGTATGTTGGAGAGTCCTGCTTGATCCCTGCGAGACATTGCGTATCAACAAACGACAACAAGAAGGCAGTTCCAGACTCCAAATCCCGCTTGAACCCCACGTGAACCCCCATGTGAGCCGACCCAATACCCACACCAAGCCCCTGCCAATGTGTGCAAATCCAGCAAAGATCAACTCCAAACCCCATCACAGCTCCTCACCCTGAACCCTTCCGAACACCTAAAAGAGACCCAAAGATGGCCGCCTAGGCTCCGCGTCTCCATTGCCGCAGGCTGAGCCTGAACATAACCCACAGAAGCAGTTTCACACCTATATACACACCTATATACACCTATCACTTGGAGCAGCTTAGCAGGTTCCCCGACAGCCAAGTCTCAGAGGGCACCTTTGGGGGTCGGGGCCGATGCCCTTGCTTTCTTGTTGTTTCTTGTTTCTTCGTGTCTCTCTGTCTCTGTGTGTATGTGTATATATGTGTGTGTGTGTGTGTGTGTGTGTGTGTGTGTGTGTCTGCTTTTGTTGTTCAAGGCCACTCTTTTCCCCTTGTTTCTGATGGGAAATCTCCAGCGTGGTGAGAGCATCCGTGGTTATCACTTGATTTGGGGCAGGTGTTGCTGCTTCCCTAGAGCCGCTCCAGCGATGCAGTGCACTGCGGGAAGTTCCTCTTCAAGTTGGCCCATGTGCCCCTGCTGCCGGGTGCCCTGGGCCCTAGACCGGGTCGATTCAGGCTGATCGTGGGAGTCACTAAGGTTGCCCCATGTTGCAGCTGTTTCCAGTAGAATCCTGCAGTTGGGCGTAAGCGGGTAACCTCGTAGACGCGCGGCCGAAGCCTGGACACATGGAGAAAGTGGAGCAGGTGGAGCAGGTGGAGCAGGTGGAGCAGGCGGAGCAGGCGGAGCAGGTGGAGCAAGCGGAGCAGCCTCAGCCCGAGCAAGACCAACCAGACCAACCAGAGCAAGCTGTGGAGCAGGCTGCGCAGTTGCCTTGGTCCCTCCGATTCTAGCCCCTGATTCAGATCCGCGCAAGTCTGAGCATTCTGAGGTTAGGCCTCGAACATGCGCAGCTCTGATGTGCACCTTGCAACTGCTCAGGATACGTGGTGGTATGCATGGCTCTTCCGATCATCAGTGGAGGATTGAATGGATTCTTTTATTCGGGCTACACGATTTACTTCCGAAAGATGGGATGGGACCTTTCGACGCCTGGGATAGCGTATGCCTGTGGAATGCTTGGTCGGATTGGGGTCCAACAGCTTCTGCTGCTGGGCACTGAACTCGAGAATCTCCGAGATATTTGTCAGGGGTAAACTCGTGAGCCCCCTTGGAACCACCACTTGAGGTTTTTTTGCGTTGTGTTGTTTGTTTCAGGCTACGTCTTGGAATCTGGAGCAACGTGCCAATGACCATCCTCCATTTGGTTTGCGCTCTGCTGAGCATGATATACCGGGATCAGCTGTGGGTGCCTTGGGCCTTGTCACCTTGTCTTTGTTTGGTTCCATGAGGTTATAAGAGGTTGCATCATCTGCATGTTCTCTGACACTCGCTTTCCCGAAAGCCTCCCGAAAGATGCTGCTTGTTCCAGAACTCTTTTCGGAGGCCGAGGCGACTTCTTGGAACCTGGGGCCCTAAACCATGCTAAGCCCTACACGCGTTGCTGGCTTCCCTGCTAATCGCTAATCGCACAGGCGTTGCTCTTGGAACTGGTTGCGCTGAATCTTTTCGAGTGTGCCTTTTCGATTGAATCCATCACCTTCCAGATGTTCTCTGACTCCGAAGCTGTCGCACGCAAAGCAACAGCGTCAGTGCTTTCATGGTATACCATTGGCTACGCTTCTTCCGCCACTTACGGCGGGATCCTGTATGACCTCTTCAGCTGGTACGGCGTGGCAATGTACCATGTTGCCACATGGCGTCATGTGCAGATTTCTTGATCAGTGTATGTGTCAAGCTTGTAGCATCAACGGATGCGTCATGCTGCTCTGTTTTCTTCAGGCAAAACAGACCTTGCGCATCTGATAAGGAGCAGTGCTTACCCGACTTGGGGAGTAGTGGAGCTGGCATTCTGTAGTGAGTCTGTAGTGACTGTCGTGATTTGAGCGCATTGTTAGGTCTCTACGGCCCTGATGGTTATCCTGTTTGCAATGCTGCCCCCCGTCCAGAATTCCTGGAAGACGTTTCGAGATCGTGGTTCGACGGACAAAAGCAAGGACACGCTGCGAGCGAGATGTATTGTACAGGGTAGCCAGAATGAGCGAGTGAATGATAGTGAATGTATGTGATTGAGATGTTGGCAGGGTTTGCAGGAAGCTGGGCCTGAGCGGGAAAGCAACATGAGCCGCTCGGCGCAGGGAGCAACCCTGTTTTTCACATTGCCTTTACATTGGACCGCCCGCAACTGCCGCAATTGGTCTGGTGACCACCAGGTGCAGACTCTGCACAGTCAGCTCTTTCGGCAACCCTCCAAGCAGCCAGCTTAGAGCCTTCTTAGCCATGTGTTGCTCTTGGTGATCGCCTTGCTTCGACCCTGAACGGCTCGACTCACAGGTCGACGCAGACGTTCCGGTGGACGCCGCGGACGCCAAGCACTTGAACCTTGCAATCTCGACCGGAGAGGGTGGCCCCGAGGGTGGCCCTGCCCCAGCTGAAGGACTGCATTTGACGTAATGTGAAGCATGTGTCACACACAGTGTCACTATGAAGCACTTTGAACGAAGCAGTGTGAAGCAGAACCGGCTGTTGTACAGAGTCTGGTCGCATCGGCACCCCACTTGGCTTCAATAGCATTGCTTCCACCGAAGGCACAGGCCCAGCGCGCACACCCCTGCCGGTCCTGCCGGCGGCCCTGGTCACGGTGAGTTCTCTGGTGAACAACTTTGCTTATCCCTCCTGTTGGATCGTTTATGCGATCTTTTTCAAGGCCTGGTCCTAGCATGTCCTAGCCGGATAGGAAATAGAGCCATCTGCCGCTAGATCAACCAGCTGCTGCTGCATGTGCTGCAGGAGTACCATGGATGGAACCAGGCCACCTGGGCCGGCATTGCGCAGACCAGCGGCGACCTCGTCGCTGCTTTCATGATCTCCCTGCCCAAGCGCCCGGCTGTTGAGCTGGAGAACGCCAAAGGGCTGAGATGGATGTGGCTTGCGAGCACCGGCCAGCCTTACAATCTCAGCTGGCTGCTGCCCCGTAGCCGAAAATGGAAGTGTCAGGGGATAGCAGATGGAGATAGCTTTGGTAACATGCGGGTGTTGGATTGCGTTAGCCGTCACTTCAGCCCGCTTCAGGTACTAGGATTGCCTAGCGACTTTAGTGAGGCCATGGGATGCTCTGAAACGTTGAAATTTCCTCTCACCAAAGGCTGATCTGGACCTGCTTGAATCTGACCATCACAAGCACGCTCTTGCCAGTGCTTCGGCAGCACGAGCCCGGACCTGGACCAAACACTGGAACGGGGAAAGCTGAGCAGAGATAGCGGAGAGCTGTATCGTTCGGTCAACGGGCTTCAGGTGTCCGTTGCTGCACAAGTACTCATGGGAACGGTCTACACCTACAACATCAAGGTGGGGGGTTTGGTACCTGGAGAGAGGGGACCCTGATTTTGGCAGAAGTTGTACATGGTTGCACTCTCTTGAAACTATTGAGAACTATGACATGTACTAGTTCGTAGATGCCAGGCCAACACGGACCTGAACGTCTTCTACAGCCTGGGGTCTGCCGAGACTTTTATGAGGCTGCAGGGCATCACCCGAAATGCAGAAGCGATTGGGGCATGCCTCGCAGGCGGCTCCGCTGAACCCTTCATTCAGTGTCATGTCAATGTGATGATTCTCTGATTGTGATGTTATGTACTGTACCTTGTCATTCTCATGTATCTTGTGATCATGTAGAGTTCATGTAGGAATCTAGGTGGGGTGCAGCTGGTGTTCTACGAGATCGACCCCGTCCTTCCCTTCTATGCGTCTGCTGCTCTGACCTTCTCCGGCCTGCTCATTTGCACCATGGGCTTCTGCCGCCGGGTGGGCTTCGGGCACAGCATCGAGTCGGCTGAAGAGGGAAGGGCCAAGCGCCTGGGCTTTGCACGCAGCAAGTCCTGGGGGAGCGGCTCGACGAACAACCTGACGTCACCTTCTGGCAGCAGCGCAGTGGCAGACTTCAAGAAGCCGAAGTCCCGGCCGACTCTTTCGTGGAGCAACTCGGACCTGACGACACCTACGCGCAGCACCGTAGACTGGGCAGACCTGACAGACTTTGACTCACCGAAGTGCCACAACAAGATGGCTCAAAGTCCCAGCAACGAAGATCTGGCAGACCTGACAGGCTTTGAGTCACCGAAGTCCGAAAACAAGATGAGCCTCTGAGCTGCTATCTTGCCATTATACATTATCAGTTATTCACAACTTCTCCATGTAGATCCGCTGATGCCCAGCAATGTTCCATGGCAATGCCTCATGGGAGTCTTCAAGACCCTGCCAAGCAACCCATGTAGCCATGTCTTTGAGAGTGTACAGATGTCAACTCGACAATGTTCCGGCAAAGACCAAGGTGCGTTTCAGCATGTTTAAATTGTCTCCTCACAAAGGAGACGCCGTGTAGGCAAGCTGGTGCGCCCTTGCAGCGCCGAAGATTTCACTGCCCTGCGTCACCAAGCGCTATTCTGCGATTTGCGAAGCACAGTCCAGTGCGGAAGTGTGCGAACACGAGCCACATCAAGTTTATGTTGTTCGTCTAGGTTACAACCTCGATCCAGGGATGTGGGACAGAGAGGCTGCGCAGGCCGAATTGGAAGCGGATGTGCTGGAAGAGCAAGCGCCGTGCCGGCCTCTCAGCATATCTTGAAGTCTTTCAACTTTCCGGCCCCGCATCCAATCTGGTTTTTGAATTTCAAGTTGTTCCATGCTGGTCTGCTGTCGGCCAGCAATGTTCTATGGTTAAGCATGTCCAAGTGGTCTCTCGACAGAGGGAGACGCTGTGCAGCCGTGTTAGCAAAGCACCAAGGCGCATGGCATTCTAGCCATGCAGGCCTTGGGATTTGGGAGTCTGCGGGGCCCTTTCCAGCAGACCCGCTGGTTTTCCCGGGTGCCCAAAGACAATGTTCCGCAGCTGAGGGCTTGCCCCACAGCACGTCCAAGTTGACTTCGCCACTGGGGGGGTAGGTACTCCATGCTGCCAACCGCTACTGTACCCGGTACCCTAAAGTCAACTCCCGGAATGTCGAGACACAGAGAGGGGAGGTGGCGTAGCCAGCGAAACTTGGGCTCGCGCAGCGTGCGATATATCTTTCGAGAAGCAACGATTTTGGGGGAGGGTGCAGAGGCCAGAGGCAAAGTGAGTGAAGACTCGCTCCTGGTGATTGCACACCATGCACTTCGACGAGCCCTTAGTGCAGCCCGATGTGCTGAAAACTTGCAAGTGGGCCCTGGGGCTGCGAGCATGCTCTAGCTGCTAGGTGCATGGTACAGGATTTTGAGCTGTCTGCCGCCAGTTTCGTGGGCCTTCCAGGTCTCCATCGCTGAGCTCCGTTTCGAGCGCTCGTCCAGGCTGGTTTGGGCTCACGCGTCACACGACCTGTCATTGTAGCCTAAAGTAAGGGGCTGCTGTTCATCAGGCCACACTGAGTGATCGTGGCAGTTGTTTCACAAAAGCAGGCGCTGAATTTGTTAGGCCTTTTTGTCTCAAGCTGTGTGCAGTGGTTCCAAAAGAGCGTTGACCTTGCAGAGCTCATGGCTGAGTTCATGTCCTTCGCCGACAATGACCTCCCGGCGGCGTTGGCAAAGAAGCCTGTTTGGAGCAGGGAGTCCTCCACGTCAACCGAGGCGCCCGAGGACATGTCTCCCAAGTCCCCATGCTCCTTGAGCCTCGAGAACATCGCAGAAGATCTCCTCAAGAACGAGGTCGGGGCAGACACGCCATGCCCAGAGTTCGACATTGCCTTCGTTGGATATGGCTTCACAAGCTTGGGCATTGCGTGGGCATTGAAGCAGAAAGATGCCTCGCTCAAGATGGCGTTTGTTTCTCTCGATGAAAAGCCCGGAGGGCTTTGGTGGGATGCCTCGGACAACGTGAAGTTGCACATTCCAACATATCGCTTCGCTTTGCCAGGCCTGCCCCACGATCAGCCGGAGTGTCACACAGATTCCAGGCACCAAGCTTCCAGCGAGCAAGTTCGGCAGTACGCGGCCAAGATTGCAGATCGCGTGACAAGCGCGCACTTCGTTGGGGAAGTAGTCAACGTTTCACAGGAGGGCAAGCTGAAGAAGGTCTCCTACGCTCCAAAAGGTGCCAAGGCGGATCGAGCCCACCTTCTTTGCCGGCATGTGGTGCAGGCTACTGGCTTTGACGGCTACGGAGGGAAGCCTCACTTGCTGGGCGTCCCACTGGAAGTCCACTCCAGTCAGCTCCGCAAGCAAGCGGAGAGCCTGCGCGGCAAACGTGTGTTGCTGGTGGGGAGCGGGAAATCATCCATTGATGCAGCTCACCTCCTTATCCAACAGCAGAACACCGTGCGTTGCTTGTACCGATCGCCCACGGCATACACTCGCAGGAGCTTCAACAGTCCGCTTTCAAGCCTTGTCATGTTCTTCCACCCACATCGGCATTTCACGCTGCTGGAAGCAGAGGTGACAGCTGAAGACTGGAAGAAGGAAGCTGAGTTGGACGACTTGGATTCTTGGGATTGGTACGTCGTGGGCAATCCGGATTGTGAGAAGGTCAGGGAGAAGACGCGCGGAGGCATCGTCCCGCTTTCAGATTTCCTGCTCATGAACCTCATGCTGCACGCTTATGGAGTGCAGGGTGATGCCAGTCGTGTGAAGTTCACCGAGAACACGGATGGCACAGTGAGCTGCGAGGCATTTCCCGGTGAGAAGTTTGACTGCGTGGTGTCTTGTACTGGCTACAAAGGCTCTTCCAAGTTGTTGCCACATTGCATCAATGCCACCACTCCCATCTCTGACTTGCACATTCACCAGGCACACATGACAGGGTGCCTGCTGCACAGCTTTATGGATGATGATGCGAAAGTGGCCAGTTGGAATGCCTTGGCAAGCCACAAGTCAGAGTATCAGTGGCACCAGCGCTACGCGCACGTCCGCAAGTGGTGTTCAAAGCATGCTTATGACGTCATCATTGAAGCAAGGAGGGAGCTGAACGAGAGCATGAGGTCAGAATGCCAAGTCCTGGGGAAGGATGGAGGTGTGAAAATGCCTCCGTGGTATTCCTTGATGATCGTTTCTGCCTTGGAGATGCTGGAACAAGTCCTGGTTTCCTCATGCAAGGTTGCCATTCGTCTCATGTGGTTTGCAGCCCCTCCGTGTCTCAGCCGGGCCTTGCTGCGTTTGGCAGGGGTTTTCCGCAAGCAGTGATTTCGACAAAGCCAAGATGCGCCAAGATGGACCAATCGCACCCGCGCGCCGCATGCCTTGCAGGCAGGCTCGTGGATAGAGCCCCCAGCAATTTTTTTGAACAAATGCCTCCCATCCAGCCTCCCCATGCATCTGTAGATGGCTTCATGGCCATTTACCAGGGGTTTTCTGCGAATCATGCTAGTACCTTCACAGCCGAGGCACATCAAGTTTATGCTGCTCTGTCTAGGTTACAACCTCGATCCAGGGATGTGGGAGAGGCTGCGCAAGCCGAATTGGAAGCGGATGTGCTGGAAGAGCAAGCGCCGTGCCGGCCTCTCAGCATATCTTGAAGTCTTTCAACTTTCCGGCCCCGCATCCAATCTGGTTTTTGAATTTCAAGTTGTTCCATGCTGGTCTGCTGCCAGCAATGTTCTATGGCAAAGTCCCGCGGCAGTCTTCGCGATGGGCCCAGGGACCTTCCTGAAGTGTACAGATGTCCACGACAATGTTCCGGCAAAGGCCTACAGGGCCTACAGGCCCTTTCGGCCATGGAGAGCCCTTCAGCATGTCCAAGTGGTCTCTCGACGGAGGGAGACGCTGCGCAGCCGTGTTAGCAAAGCACCAAGGCGGATGGCATTCTAGCCAAGCAGGCCTTGGGATTTGGGAGTCTTCGGGGCCCTTTCCAGCAGACCCGCTGGTTTTCCCGGGTGCCCAAAGACAATGTTCCGCAGCTGAGGGCTTGCCCCACAGCACGTCCAAGTTGACTTCGCCACTGGGGGGGTAGGTACTCCATGCTGCCAACCGCTACTGTACCCGGTACCCTAAAGTCAACTCCCGGAATGTCGAGACACAGAGAGGGGAGGTGGCGTAGCCAGCGAAACTTGGGCTCGCGCAGCGTGCGATATATCTTTCGAGAAGCAACGATTTTGGGGGAGGGTGCAGAGGCCAGAGGCAAAGTGAGTGAAGACTCGCTCCTGGTGATTGCACACCATGCACTTCGACGAGCCCTTAGTGCAGCCCGATGTGCTGAAAACTTGCAAGTGGGCCCTGGGGCTGCGAGCATGCTCTAGCTGCTAGGTGCATGGTACAGGATTTTGAGCTGTCTGCCGCCAGTTTCGTGGGCCTTCCAGGTCTCCATCGCTGAGCTCCGTTTCGAGCGCTCGTCCAGGCTGGTTTGGGCTCACGCGTCACACGACCTGTCATTGTAGCCTAAAGTAAGGGGCTGCTGTTCATCAGGCCACAGTGAGTCGGTGATCGTGGCAGTTGTTTCACAAAAGCAGGCGCTGAATTTGTTAGGCCTTTTTGTCTCAAGCTGTGTGCAGTGGTTCCAAAAGAGCGTTGACCTTGCAGAGCTCATGGCTGAGTTCATGTCCTTCGCCGACAATGACCTCCCGGCGGCGTTGGCAAAGAAGCCTGTTTGGAGCAGGGAGTCCTCCACGTCAACCGAGGCGCCCGAGGACATGTCTCCCAAGTCCCCATGCTCCTTGAGCCTCGAGAACATCGCAGAAGATCTCCTCAAGAACGAGGTCGGGGCAGACACGCCATGCCCAGAGTTCGACATTGCCTTCGTTGGATATGGCTTCACAAGCTTGGGCATTGCGTGGGCATTGAAGCAGAAAGATGCCTCGCTCAAGATGGCGTTTGTTTCTCTCGATGAAAAGCCCGGAGGGCTTTGGTGGGATGCCTCGGACAACGTGAAGTTGCACATTCCAACATATCGCTTCGCTTTGCCAGGCCTGCCCCACGATCAGCCGGAGTGTCACACAGATTCCAGGCACCAAGCTTCCAGCGAGCAAGTTCGGCAGTACGCGGCCAAGATTGCAGATCGCGTGACAAGCGCGCACTTCGTTGGGGAAGTTGTCAACGTTTCACAGGAGGGCAAGCTGAAGAAGGTCTCCTACGCTCCAAAAGGTGCCAAGGCGGATCGAGCCCACCTTCTTTGCCGGCATGTGGTGCAGGCTACTGGCTTTGACGGCTACGGAGGGAAGCCTCACTTGCTGGGCGTCCCACTGGAAGTCCACTCCAGTCAGCTCCGCAAGCAAGCGGAGAGCCTGCGCGGCAAACGTGTGTTGCTGGTGGGGAGCGGGAAATCATCCATTGATGCAGCTCACCTCCTTATCCAACAGCAGAACACCGTGCGTTGCTTGTACCGATCGCCCACGGCATACACTCGCAGGAGCTTCAACAGTCCGCTTTCAAGCCTTGTCATGTTCTTCCACCCACATCGGCATTTCACGCTGCTGGAAGCAGAGGTGACAGCTGAAGACTGGAAGAAGGAAGCTGAGTTGGACGACTTGGATTCTTGGGATTGGTACGTCGTGGGCAATCCGGATTGTGAGAAGGTCAGGGAGAAGACGCGCGGAGGCATCGTCCCGCTTTCAGATTTCCTGCTCATGAACCTCATGCTGCACGCTTATGGAGTGCAGGGTGATGCCAGTCGTGTGAAGTTCACCGAGAACACGGATGGCACAGTGAGCTGCGAGGCATTTCCCGGTGAGAAGTTTGACTGCGTGGTGTCTTGTACTGGCTACAAAGGCTCTTCCAAGTTGTTGCCACATTGCATCAATGCCACCACTCCCATCTCTGACTTGCACATTCACCAGGCACACATGACAGGGTGCCTGCTGCACAGCTTTATGGATGATGATGCGAAAGTGGCCAGTTGGAATGCCTTGGCAAGCCACAAGTCAGAGTATCAGTGGCACCAGCGCTACGCGCACGTCCGCAAGTGGTGTTCAAAGCATGCTTATGACGTCATCATTGAAGCAAGGAGGGAGCTGAACGAGAGCATGAGGTCAGAATGCCAAGTCCTGGGAAAGGATGGAGGGGTGAAAATGCCTCCGTGGTATTCCTTGATGATCGTTTCTGCCTTGGAGATGCTGGAACAAGTCCTGGTTTCCTCATGCAAGGTTGCCATTCGTCTCATGTGGTTTGCAGCCCCTCCGTGTCTCAGCCGGGCCTTGCTGCGTTTGGCAGGGGTTTTCCGCAAGCAGTGATTTCGACAAAGCCAAGATGCGCCAAGATGGACCAATCGCACCCGCGCGCCGCATGCCTTGCAGGCAGGCTCGTGGATAGAGCCCCCAGCAAATTTTTTGAACAAATGCCTCCCATCCAGCCTCCCCATGCATCTGTAGATGGCTTCATGGCCATTTACCAGGGGTTTTCTGCGAATCATGCTAGTACCTTCACAGCCGAGGCACATCAAGTTTATGCTGCTCTGTCTAGGTTACAACCTCGATCCAGGGATGTGGGAGAGGCTGCGCAAGCCGAATTGGAAGCGGATGTGCTGGAAGAGCAAGCGCCGTGCCGGCCTCTCAGCATATCTTGAAGTCTTTCAACTTTCCGGCCCCGCATCCAATCTGGTTTTTGAATTTCAAGTTGTTCCATGCTGGTCTGCTGCCAGCAATGTTCTATGGCAAAGTCCCGCGGCAGTCTTCGCGATGGGCCCAGGGACCTTCCTGAAGTGTACAGATGTCCACGACAATGTTCCGGCAAAGGCCTACAGGGCCTACAGGCCCTTTCGGCCATGGAGAGCCCTTCAGCATGTCCAAGTGGTCTCTCGACGGAGGGAGACGCTGCGCAGCCGTGTTAGCAAAGCACCAAGGCGGATGGCATTCTAGCCAAGCAGGCCTTGGGATTTGGGGGTCTTCGGGGCCCTTTCCAGCAGACCCGCTGGTTTTCCCGGGTGCCCAAAGACAATGTTCCGCAGCTGAGGGCTTGCCCCACAGCACGTCCAAGTTGACTTCGCCACTGGGGGGGTAGGTACTCCATGCTGCCAACCGCTACTGTACCCGGTACCCTAAAGTCAACTCCCGGAATGTCGAGACACAGAGAGGGGAGGTGGCGTAGCCAGCGAAACTTGGGCTCGCGCAGCGTGCGATATATCTTTCGAGAAGCAACGATTTTGGGGGAGGGTGCAGAGGCCAGAGGCAAAGTGAGTGAAGACTCGCTCCTGGTGATTGCACACCATGCACTTCGACGAGCCCTTAGTGCAGCCCGATGTGCTGAAAACTTGCAAGTGGGCCCTGGGGCTGCGAGCATGCTCTAGCTGCTAGGTGCATGGTACAGGATTTTGAGCTGTCTGCCGCCAGTTTCGTGGGCCTTCCAGGTCTCCATCGCTGAGCTCCGTTTCGAGCGCTCGTCCAGGCTGGTTTGGGCTCACGCGTCACACGACCTGTCATTGTAGCCTAAAGTAAGGGGCTGCTGTTCATCAGGCCACAGTGAGTCGGTGATCGTGGCAGTTGTTTCACAAAAGCAGGCGCTGAATTTGTTAGGCCTTTTTGTCTCAAGCTGTGTGCAGTGGTTCCAAAAGAGCGTTGACCTTGCAGAGCTCATGGCTGAGTTCATGTCCTTCGCCGACAATGACCTCCCGGCGGCGTTGGCAAAGAAGCCTGTTTGGAGCAGGGAGTCCTCCACGTCAACCGAGGCGCCCGAGGACATGTCTCCCAAGTCCCCATGCTCCTTGAGCCTCGAGAACATCGCAGAAGATCTCCTCAAGAACGAGGTCGGGGCAGACACGCCATGCCCAGAGTTCGACATTGCCTTCGTTGGATACGGCTTCACAAGCTTGGGCATTGCGTGGGCATTGAAGCAGAAAGATGCCTCGCTCAAGATGGCTTTTGTTTCTCTCGATGAAAAGCCCGGAGGGCTTTGGTGGGATGCCTCGGACAACGTGAAGTTGCACATTCCAACATATCGCTTCGCTTTGCCAGGCCTGCCCCACGATCAGCCGGAGTGTCACACAGATTCCAGGCACCAAGCTTCCAGCGAGCAAGTTCGGCAGTACGCGGCCAAGATTGCAGATCGCGTGACAAGCGCGCACTTCGTTGGGGAAGTTGTCAACGTTTCACAGGAGGGCAAGCTGAAGAAGGTCTCCTACGCTCCAAAAGGTGCCAAGGCGGATCGAGCCCACCTTCTTTGCCGGCATGTGGTGCAGGCTACTGGCTTTGACGGCTACGGAGGGAAGCCTCACTTGCTAGGCGTCCCACTGGAAGTCCACTCCAGCCAGCTCCGCAAGCAAGCGGAGAGCCTGCGCGGCAAACGTGTGTTGCTGGTGGGGAGCGGGAAATCATCCATTGATGCAGCTCACCTCCTTATCCAACAGCAGAACACCGTGCGTTGCTTGTACCGATCGCCCACGGCATACACTCGCAGGAGCTTCAACAGTCCGCTTTCAAGCCTTGTCATGTTCTTCCACCCACATCGGCATTTCACGCTGCTGGAAGCAGAGGTGACAGCTGAAGATTGGAAGAAGGAAGCTGAGTTGGACGACTTGGATTCTTGGGATTGGTACGTCGTGGGCAATCCGGATTGTGAGAAGGTCAGGGAGAAGACGCGCGGAGGCATCGTCCCGCTTTCAGATTTCCTGCTCATGAACCTCATGCTGCATGCTTATGGAGTGCAGGGTGATGCCAGTCGTGTGAAGTTCACCGAGAACACGGATGGCACAGTGAGCTGCGAGGCATTTCCCGGTGAGAAGTTTGACTGCGTGGTGTCTTGTACTGGCTACAAAGGCTCTTCCAAGTTGTTGCCACATTGCATCAATGCCACCACTCCCATCTCTGACTTGCACATTCACCAGGCACACATGACAGGGTGCCTGCTGCACAGCTTTATGGATGATGATGCGAAAGTGGCCAGTTGGAATGCCTTGGCAAGCCACAAGTCAGAGTATCAGTGGCACCAGCGCTACGCGCACGTCCGCAAGTGGTGTTCAAAGCATGCTTATGACGTCATCATTGAAGCAAGGAGGGAGCTGAACGAGAGCATGAGGTCAGAATGCCAAGTCCTGGGGAAGGATGGAGGTGTGAAAATGCCTCCGTGGTATTCCTTGATGATCGTTTCTGCCTTGGAGATGCTGGAACAAGTCCTGGTTTCCTCATGCAAGGTTGCCATTCGTCTCATGTGGTTTGCAGCCCCTCCGTGTCTCAGCCGGGCCTTGCTGCGTTTGGCAGGGGTTTTCCGCAAGCAGTGATTTCGACAAAGCCAAGATGCGCCAAGATGGACCAATCGCACCCGCGCGCCGCATGCCTTGCAGGCAGGCTCGTGGATAGAGCCCCCAGCAATTTTTTTGAACAAATGCCTCCCATCCAGCCTCCCCATGCATCTGTAGATGGCTTCATGGCCATTTACCAGGGGTTTTCTGCGAATCATGCTAGTACCTTCACAGCCGAGGCACATCAAGTTTATGCTGCTCTGTCTAGGTTACAACCTCGATCCAGGGATGTGGGAGAGGCTGCGCAAGCCGAATTGGAAGCGGATGTGCTGGAAGAGCAAGCGCCGTGCCGGCCTCTCAGCATATCTTGAAGTCTTTCAACTTTCCGGCCCCGCATCCAATCTGGTTTTTGAATTTCAAGTTGTTCCATGCTGGTCTGCTGCCAGCAATGTTCTATGGCAAAGTCCCGCGGCAGTCTTCGCGATGGGCCCAGGGACCTTCCTGAAGTGTACAGATGTCCACGACAATGTTCCGGCAAAGGCCTACAGGGCCTACAGGCCCTTTCGGCCATGGAGAGCCCTTCAGCATGTCCAAGTGGTCTCTCGACGGAGGGAGACGCTGCGCAGCCGTGTTAGCAAAGCACCAAGGCGGATGGCATTCTAGCCAAGCAGGCCTTGGGATTTGGGAGTCTTCGGGGCCCTTTCCAGCAGACCCGCTGGTTTTCCCGGGTGCCCAAAGACAATGTTCCGCAGCTGAGGGCTTGCCCCACAGCACGTCCAAGTTGACTTCGCCACTGGGGGGGTAGGTACTCCATGCTGCCAACCGCTACTGTACCCGGTACCCTAAAGTCAACTCCCGGAATGTCGAGACACAGAGAGGGGAGGTGGCGTAGCCAGCGAAACTTGGGCTCGCGCAGCGTGCGATATATCTTTCGAGAAGCAACGATTTTGGGGGAGGGTGCAGAGGCCAGAGGCAAAGTGAGTGAAGACTCGCTCCTGGTGATTGCACACCATGCACTTCGACGAGCCCTTAGTGCAGCCCGATGTGCTGAAAACTTGCAAGTGGCCCCTGGGGCTGCGAGCATGCTCTAGCTGCTAGGTGCATGGTACAGGATTTTGAGCTGTCTGCCGCCAGTTTCGTGGGCCTTCCAGGTCTCCATCGCTGAGCTCCGTTTCGAGCGCTCGTCCAGGCTGGTTTGGGCTCACGCGTCACACCCAATGTCATTGTAGCCGTGTTAGGGGCTGCTGTTCCTTCAGTCACTGTGGCAGTTGTTTCACAAACAAAGCGATGAATTTGTTAGGTAGTGCGGAAAGGGGGGGGGGTGCGGCTGGCGAGCTAGTTTTCCAAAAGCACTCGCCCGCCGATATCTTAGCTCCAAGCCCTTCTGGCCCAAGTGCATTGGTACGCCCCTCGACCCTTCCGGCACGAGACCTACCCAGGCCGCCGTTGGTGCTGGCAAGGGCTGTTTTCCGCTTCTGCCGGCCGTGTTTTCACGGGTGCCCTTGACCTGGACAGGAGCATGCAGATTGTGGTTGTCCTGTCCTTGCTGGCCGTGGTGTCGTGCAAGTATGTGATACCACCTTTGCAACTCGACCGCATCGATTCAGGCAACTCTCGTTTGTGGATTTGGGTCCGTTTTGGGTTCCCGGTATCGCTTCACGTCGTGCTGACTCTGCTGACTGGCACATGTGTTGATGGCCTGCCCGGTGCCGGCAAGTGCCGCCACTTGAGGCAAACCCTGCTCGAAGAGCTTGAAGGAGCTTGCATTGCTGCGCATGCAAGTGTGCATGCAAGTGTGCAAGTTTGTTCCAAAAGCATGACATGACAGGCATCTGCCACATGCCAAGGGAGTGTTTAGTGGGGGCATCGCAAGGCGCAGGTAGCATCGGGTGGCATGAGGCAGCACCTCGAGGAGGCCATGTAGGCACGCAATGAGGCGTGTGGGCGGGCAGGACCGGAGATCTCGACACGAAGCACCTTGGAGGAAGCGGCGTTCTCGCAACCTTCGCATCCGAAGCTGGTGCAGGTAGAGGGCATGTTTAACCGTGCGTTGGACCAGAACATCGGCTTCCAGAGCCCTGTTTCTGAAAAAGCACAGGCTGTTCTTGTGCGCTTGTCGTTTATTTTGTAGCTCTCTAGGGTGTTCCAGTCGTTTCAGCTGTTTGGGGCCGTTGCGCGTCCCTGCTCTTGACCGGTTGCTCAGGAATGACATCGTCTCCAACTACACCATGAGCCCTGAGATGGTTCCTTGGGAGAGTTAGCTCATGTTAGCTCGCAGAAGGCTGCCGTAGAGCTTCGCAGTTCTAGAATTCTATACGCGAAGGAGAGCTACTGGCCACTTTTCATGGAGACGCTGCAGAAGGATCCAGGGGATCCAGGGTTCAGGTGTGCTAACGATGCCAATGGTGCGATGGTGTCGGATGTTCTTCCTGCTTCGGCGCGAGAGTTGAGAGTCGCTGCATGTCGCTGCAGGACGTGGAGTACATTCCTGCAGTCCAGCGGAAGCTGAAGCCCTATCGGTCACAGGCCAAGATCGAGATGCAAATATGCGGTCTGCGCGGCTGAGGGTGTTTTTGGGAAGGGTTTATGCGGCTGAGCCGCTCAGGCTTGCTCGGCTTACCCATATCTAGATAGATCGCAGAAGTAAGGCCCACAGCAAGCAGTTTACCGAGCCTACAAGCTCAAAAGATGCAAGAGGCTTAGGCGCAGGTCTGCCTTTCGCGAGCATGCCGTTGATCAGCAGGTGGTGAAGATTGACATCACTGAGGAGGAGGCCGCCGCGTTGCGGGAGGAGATGGACCAAGTCTCCGAGTTCCAAAGGCTTCTGCGAGCAAGGCTGAACTTCAAAGGCTTTACGACCCTGGATGCCGAGTTCACACTGGCAGCCTTCTTCCACCCCACGGCGGTGAAGATCCTTAAGCGGAAGCCGGGTGGCAAGGCCTTATTCTCCGTGATGGGACAGTGAGAGCAAAGGGGCTGTTCTCTCTTTTTTTTTTTTTCTCTCTCTCTCTCTCTCTCTCTCTCTCTCTCTCTCTCGGTTCGGGCCGCACTGAAAGCCCCGTATCGTATCTCATGAGTTGCTCAAGAGAGGGAAGTTCGAAGGGAAGGTTCCAAGAGGGGTCGGAGGGTGTGGAAGGCTTGGGAGGGTGCGGAGGGCGAAGCTTAAGGAACATGGCGATGATCAAGGCCTACAACCCGGGTGTGAAGATCGTGCAGGTCAACACTTTCCGACACAAGGCGTGGAAGGGGAGGGCGAATTGCAGTTCATTTTTTTTTGCCACTAGGCCGCCTTCAGGAATGACGAAACTGGACCCACTGGACAGCGGACGACATGCAACGGCAGCACTCTGTATCAAGTGTCTTTGGTTCCGGAATGCGCAGAATCTTCTTGTCCCCATAGCCCTCCAAGAGAGAAGCAGGAGTAAAGACGGGTGAGTAGGTGGGCATGCCGATTGGCGACTCCGATGGCGTGCACTGCACGTTCTCATCAATGCCAGCGGACGCCGAGCTCTGCGTGTCAGAGTCCTTTCCCAGCCAGGTGGGCATCAGAGTACGGTTGCGGGTTTCGAGAGACCGTCATTCCCAGTCGGTTCCAGGGCTTCTTCAGGGATCTGAGGATCTGAGGCAAAAGCGGGATGCTCGAACTTCTGCGAACGTTGTGAAAGGTGAATTTTCACGTGGCGCTGAGCCCCGTGACGCAGGGCTCGAAGCCCTTCCTTGTGTGGGAGACCCCCACCGTGCAGCGGATTCTTGTCCGGGTCCATGCTGCGGACGTTCTGACGTTCTGGGATCTTCTGGGATCTTCTGGGATCTGGGGTTGCTTGAAGGAAGGCCGTGGTCGCGTGTTGTGACGGCCGAGGATGACACCGAACTACGCCTACAAGTCGCTCTTAGAGGGTGGCTATATCGACGACTCCAACCGAGACTTGATGCAAAAGGCCCTCTTCCTCGGCACCTACCCGCACTTCTCCAACAGGACCGGAGCAGGTCAGCATCCCTCGGACTCCCCGGACTCCCCTAGTTTTAGCAGATTTTTGGGGCACCTTGTTTTAGCAGTTGAGTTTGGGCTGCTCGTCGCAAGCCGCAGGACGGACCGGAAATTGGCCAACTTTGCCGCGAACTTCTTCAACGTCCACCTTTGGTCCATGCGGCATCGGGCCGACCCTGCCCAGGCCGCGGCACGGCATGTGAGGTTCTGCAGCTCTGCATATGAGGTTCTGCAGAGGTTTGCAGTGTTGCAATGCCATCAAGCACGGCCCCTCTCCGGCCCCTCTGCGGCCCCCATGTGTGAGCAGTGTCAGGTGCCTGGCCAATACGCCGCCATTGACGTGGGAGAGGCGCTGGCCTTCGATGCCTTTCAGAAGCACGCCGGCGTCGTCTTCAACATCACCGATGACCGGTACTCCATGGTGTTCCGCACCTCCGGAAGTGCCCTCGAGGGCGACGATGTCGTAACCAACCATCCCCACCTCTACAAGAACGAGCAGGACAGCCTCTACATGGAGAAGGCCCTGGGTGCAATGGAGGAGATCTTTGGCTACAATGTGCGGGAGAAGATCTTCGAGGATGGGGCGAACGGGAGGGGCAGCGCTGACTTCACCGCCATCAGCGTGGAGCCGCGACCTGGCGCCGTGTCGATCGACGGCAGCTCTGCCATTTTCAGCATGCGTTGGCAGAATGTTGGCAGTCATTTCGCAAATCCCTTCTTGCTTTCAACTCCTCAGTCCGTGATCCTCCGGGCGTCTGCGGTCTGCTTTTTTTGACCCCACCCCGTTTTAGAGGGGCCGTTAGATTTCGCTCAGCGGAGCAAGAGAATCCCGCCGGAGTATGCCCGCAGAGAAGTGCGCAGAGAACTCAGAGAACCCGCCGAGCATCGCGAGCTCACACTGGCCACAAGCACGCGACGATTGAGGGGGCACGTCAAACAGGACTGGCCCTGTTCTTCGCAAGCACGCCGTGGGCCACGGAGCATGTCAAGCCAGATCGGGGTGAACTCCCGTTTTGGGTCTTCCGGAGCTCACACATGAGGCACAAGCACTCGACCCTCGACGCGCCACAGTTTCAGACAGGGTCGGGCTGAATCTCCTTGGTCCGTCCCAGTTCTTGTTTCAGCTTCCCATAAATACAGAAGACGGGAATCCGCTTAGACTTGGGCCGTTCGACCCGGCGGCGAACAGCCAGGAAAGATCTTCCCAAGTATCCCAAGTTACCGGAGTCCGACCTGTCTGGGTGACCCCGCCCCCACGCATTTTTTGCGAAATCTTGTTTGGGGGAAGATTTCCTGAAGCAGTCCACGTCACCCTGACCTGTCCTGCGCGATGATGGAGTCTAAATTGCGCTTGGCGCAGGCATGCTGCGCCACTTCGAAGCCGCCAAGGGCTTCTTTGCGCAGAGGCCCCTCGTGCTCTCCGAGGAGGCGGTGCGCAAGATCGTCGAGGCAGAGGCCATGCAGGTCTGATTCGGTCTGATGTTTTTGTGTAGTTTTTTGGTATGTTTCTCCTGCTAGACAACGAGCAGGGGAAGAAGTTTTCGGAACCCTTTATACAGGGTCCGTCTCTCTGTCTCTGGTCCTCCTAGGTGTCCAAGACAAAATCTAGCGGGGCCCTAGACAATGTTCCGCATTATGCCCAGGAGTGCCCAAGCAATGCCTCGTTTCAGAAACCGTAGCCAAGCTGGGAAAGGCAATCGCTGGGGTAGAACCCAGATGGAGTGACGTAGTGAGCTTGGACTTGCAGGGCACGCATCTTGGGAGAAGCGACCGCTGGGGAGCTTCAATGTTCAGAGGCAAAGCATCGCGAAGTGAACCTTGTCGTGCAGACGACATGTTCCGATCCAGAATGTTCCAGCCCATGGCAGGTTGAGCTGTGTACAGAATGAATCGCTGATCGAGAGCGGAGCCATCACAAAATTGACATGGAGATCCAGCATTTCTTGCTTGGCGCAGCCTCCTAGAGAGAAGTGTTTGGTCGCCACCAATGCCGGCGAAGCCTTCCACTCTCCAACTTCTTTTCCTCTCTTCACTGCAGAGCGACCTCCTGCTCGCTCCTACTCACTTCGATGGCGAGGCTGCAAGGTCTGCGGTATTCTGCCATGTTAAGCTGATAAGCTCACTTTGGCCCAAGTGCCTGACCGCAAGACGCCACAGATGCTGGCCAGGCTTTCTAGTTCTGCTGGTTGTGCTTCGCCCGGTGCCCCAGGAGGGTCGACTCGAGCAACGCTCGTGCTGGAGCTTCGAACTCTACTATCAAGAGTAAGAAGGCATCGTGCTTCATGTTGAACACAGCCACAACTGATGCGCATGTTTTCTGCGGCTGTTTCCTGGGCTTTTGAATTCTGTTGTTGTTGGGCATAAACGGGTAGCCTGGTAGACGTAGCAATGGCTGAGCTCACTACTTGAGGTCTACGACGGCAGAACAAATGTTAGTTGCAAGTTACCCAGGAAAGCAGCATCCATTCGTCATCAACGCTGTCCTGCCCTTAGCGAGCCTTGCGGGGTTTGGCATGTACCCGAAGCGCCACTCTGAATGCAGCGACGGTGATGGCTTTTGAGCATTGAGCCGTTGAGCACAGCACTTGGCTAGTTGTATTCGCAACTGTTCAACGCGATCCTTTTGAGGTTCAAGTTGGGTCGTGGGTTCAGGACGTTCAAAACATTGCACGCACCCTGACGCCGATGCTGTAGGTTGTAAAATTGTAGGTTTCGGGGTCGGGGTCAGCGTAGAAGGTGCCAGTGTTCTTGACTCATAGGCAGGCCATGGCAGGCCCCAAGCCAGGATGCTTCGGTGTTAGGGCACGGGGAAATCCCAACGCGTGTGGGTCCTGCAGCTGCTTTCTGGCTCAGAGCTTCCGTTGGGATCGAACACCCGATTCCAAACGAGGCCACATGGGTCCGCCATCCAGAAAGCACGGTAAGCTGCTTTGGCAAGGTTCACACTCGTGGGTTAGAGCGGTTTTGTTGTTTGGGGTGGGCGGGCGTTCACTATGTCACTATGTGACCTGCACGCAGCTACCAGTACCACAACACCTCGTGTGCAAAGGCTGACCTACTCGTAAGGAACTGTCACCCCACGATCAAGGCCCCACTCACCTAGTGTGGTTGTTGATGGTGGGGATCTTACGTCGGGAGCCCCTTCAAAGGGGTGTAAGGGAGTGGGCATTGCTCAGAGGCTGTCATGTGCCTGGACACGAAGGAGACCAAGGCTCGTTGAGCTCAGGGCTCTCGAAGGGGCTCTTGACTGGAAGGCTTCTTTTCCTTCTTCACGTCCAGTGGGACGAAGGCTGAAGCAAAGCTTAGGCACACTGACCTGAACCGTGTATTTCCTACTCTTGGGGCTTCGTTCTCCGAGAGAATGGCATGAGACACCGGCCCCACACAGCTCGAGGAATTGACTGTGCGGCCATGTGGCTCTTGAACAGGGCTGCAAGATGTTGCAGGTGTTATACAAGGGAAGGGAGTTTAAGGAGGGAAGTTGAGGCACTCGGGAGATGTGTGTAAAATGCGGACTCGTCATTGTGTTAGTCAGCCCGCAAAGCAAGATCTTTGTGTCTGAGTCCTCGATCAGCAGCATCAGGCAGCGGAGGTCCTGTCGATGGAGGAGTGGCCTGGTCAGAAGTGCGGAGACTTCTCAGTTTATGGGCACTCGGGTCGAGTTGTGAAGCAGAACACGTCGAGCTTTTTGCGTGGGAGTGTAGGGTTTCCGTGGGCAAACTAAGTCGTGGAGCGCTTATGGATGTTGTGATGTTTGAGTCCCCTGGTTCCTGCAGAAGCGCTTGAATTGTGAAAGCTTGCCGCTGAAGTTTACGACAAGAGTGTCCTAAATGGTGCCTTCCGAAAGCAAAGCCCGATGCTTGAACCGTCTTACTGAGCGGAGAACCTGCGCTGCCATGTTGTTGCTTCCATTTCGCAGTATTCAGTGCGCAATTTGTCTGTGCCACTATTCCGACTATTCCAAGACCTTGTCGAGCAGGAACGACATGTGCACACCAAGGCAGGTGCGGAAACTTGACGCCCGGCACCGGGAACAGGCGGAGAGGCTGCTTGCATTGTTTCAGTCGGCGTTCCACTAGGGCTTGCCCAAGCACATCAAAGGGCACTTCGGCAGAACGTCGTGAAAGATCTGTTGGGTCTTCCGTGGAACTGCTTCTGACTGCTTAGGAGTTTAATGCACGTTGATGCTTTGCCTCGAGACATTCTAAACCGAGAGAGTGGTGACAAAGTGAGATACTTGACACACCTGTTTTGGACAAATTGGTTCCTCTAGCCCCTGGGACTGTGTGGTGACAGTGAAGGACATACGAGCCGGTGACTGATATGGTAGTTACGGAGCAAACGAACGAGCAAGTTGAAACTTTTCGCTTGTCGAGCTTCAGCAGGGTGCACACGCAACATGAGGTTGCAGATGCTTCAGAAGATGGAGAAGCAAAAGATGATGGAGCTGCGCCTGCACAGCAAGCAGTCCTCCCCTCCCCCCACTCCCCTTCGACACGCGTGCCAAAACTTCGAGGGGCCCTCTCTCCAGGACACCATCATCCCATCCGATTAGATGAGGTTGCGGGTAGCCATCACCCACAGGTATAAAACCTTCCATTCTGGACATTCAAATCACACAAGTCACCACAAAGGGACGCCTCACCTTGAGAGCCCTGCAATCATTCAAACGGCCTTTGGCACTTGGCTGGCGTGCAAAAGGATGAGGATGAGTAGCTGAGTAGCTAGCCTGAGAGCTGTTCTGTTTCTTTCTGCAGTCTCGTAGACTGCAGGGAAAAGTTGCACATGCCTTTGCAGTCAGAAGCTCAGCCCATACTGCGATAGACCCAAGAATATGACAAGGCAGACGGCTGAGATCCAGCGCGAGTTCTGGGAGGCTGGTCTTGTCACGCACACACGTTAATCTGATGCGACGGGCTGCGGACACGACGACACGCGCGCAGACACACACACACACACACACAGTGTCATGCTCGTGGAATCCTCCCTCTGCAATTCCACTAGAGGTCTAGGATGTGGTTCACTCAAGCTTGCTCATGACAGTCGACTGGGAAAACGGAAAACCACTCGGTCTTGAAGCTTCCTGGATCAGTCCTTGAGGTATACTTGGGGCATTACAAACAACTGGTGATGGGCGTGTGTCCCATCCGCTGGTAGAGACCCTTTCAGAAATCGCAACTGCATTTTGCAAAGGCTCCGAAACTTGGCATTGATAGGTTGGCTGCGAGGCTCATGAACTCGCATTACCTTTGGGCTGCACCAGACAGGTGATGCAAAGGACTGTGTATGTCACAGGCACTGAAGCTGGCAACGACGAACTGAAATGTGAACCAGCGCAATCAAACCAAGGCTTTGTCAGGAGGCAGTTTGGTTTCTCGTGATCAGCACGCAAGCTCCCAACTCCCGCCATGAATCGTCACCCTGGATTTTGTTGGATGAATTGTGAGGAAGCACGAGCTGTGTCGATCTTCACGTTTTCCAGACTCGTCCAAATCGACTCCGCTCCAGCTGCCACAAGGTGATGGTTCTCTCAAAAGGTTGCCAGACACACTAAAACAGGGTTAAATGGGAGTTTTGGACGTTTAGGGGCTATCTTGCCAGTCTGGGCAGAAGCTCTTTGGTTTCGCCAGTCTCCAAACCCGCAGCAAAGTTGGGCACGAGGAGCCTCCTCAAACTGACTGAACATTCGTGCCTTCAGGGCGATCTATCATCAGGAGCTTCCTGCTTTAACCTAGGGCTGTGGGCGTACAGGTCACTTTGTGACTGCGATCGAAAGTTCCGCCTCCGAAAGTCCTATCCCAAACCTTCGAGCATGGGCAGGGAGAGATCACCGACGATGAAGACTCCATCGGCCAGTACCCTTCGTCCCCAACGTCCCCGCAGGTGCTATGTTGGGATCCATGGTGCGTGTTGCAGCATGTTGCAGCATGTTGCAGCATGTTGCAGCATGTTGCAGCATGTTGCAGCATGTTGCAGCATGTTGCAGCATGTTGCAGCATGTTGCAGCATGTTGCAGCATGTTGCAGCATGTTGGCTGTTGCCAAATTTGGGTGCCCCCATGCCCGAGAATACTCCTGCAGTGGTCCAAGCAGAGGCGAATCGCTCAAGAGGTTTTGATGGCACCACGGGGAGCCTTGGCAGACTGAGACTAATGCTGTGCCGTAGCGAGATGATGATGCTGAACTTCGGGATAGAATGAAACCGTCGAACTTCCAGGCTCGTTGTTCAGCGTGTACCCGTGTCGACCATGCGCTGAGTATGAGATGCCTACAATGTCCTAGAATCACTCGAGCCCTGCACCCAGAGTCCCCTACTGCGCTTTCTTTCAAAATAAAGGAAAGGCATCTGCCCTGCCATAGAGAAGCAAACAGCATTCCAGGATGCCTTCTTCCTTGACTTTGGCATCGCCTCCTTGCAACATGCCTAGGCGCGCGTCAGCAGTCCCCTACGAGTTGCAAGTCAAACCCTCTACACCCTAGTCATTCTCCCACTCTGTCTCGCGGGTCATCCTGAGGCATCCTCCCCATCAGGGCACACGGCACACGAGCGGCCCACCCTGTGTGTAAATACTGGTGGGCGGTAGCATGGGTCGAACTAAATACACGTGCGACATGTCTTCTCCCCTCTTCCGACCTGAGTGTTCTGGTCCGTGTTGTTGGTTTATATGTTTTTACTTTACGAGTGCGCTAGAAGGGAGTGAAGAGCAGTGAGAACACGGCAGTGTCTTCAGAGAGGCCCCGAGAATTTAGGCTCAGGCCTTAATGCCACTGGATTGTTGGATGCACAGGAGCCTCGTGCTGTTTTAGGCTTTTTCGAGTCAGTTGGCAAGCTTTGTGTGTACGACCCTTACCCATGGATGTTACACAGTGCAGTTGCAGTGCAGTACTACCTCTTGAATGGGCGCCCGCCGGGGAACGTAGGGCCTCAATGCAAGGCGAGCGTGTCCAGGTGCTTCATGTTCTGGGAAGAGGCCCCGAAAATGCCGCCCCCAAAATCCCCAAACACCTCTTTTCCTGAAGGCCCTTTCAGACCGCTGTGCTGCTTCCTCTGGTCGTCAATGGCCCGGAGCACATGTCCGCGTTGAACCAAGGCCATAGGGGCTTGTGGAGTTAGCTGACATGAGTGACAGAGCTGGAGAAGAAACCTCGAATTCGCCGATCAGAGTATAGACACAGATTCTTGGACAGAAGCGCCTCCCAATAAATTGAGGGTCTCTATAAATGCGGGCCTGATGGGAAAGCCATTGCCACAATTATTTTTCCGCTAACGCCTGGGCACCGAGGCCACTGCAGGGTTGTCTGCCCAGGGTCCAGGGTGGGGTGTGGGGGTTAAGGGGGAAGCCGGGAGATGATGCTTGATTGGGGTTGGGGAGGGGGGAGGGGAGTCGGGGTACCCAAAACGGGCCAACACAAACCCACCCACACTGGCACGCGAGCCACCCACGGGCTAACACACGCTTTCACGCATGCGCGCGCGCATGTGCACCCGCGCATCCAGATGCCCACGCGCCCAGCCACCTGCGAATGTGCACGAGCGTACGCAAAAATCTCGCGCGCGCGGACACCAGCCGAATATAGGGCCAGAAGCGAAGGAGAACCGCCCATCCCCAAACCTTGAGCCTGGTAGTACCGGGCTGCTGTTTTGTTTAGGAGTATGCGTCATGATTATTGCTGATGTTGAGTGATGACCTCAGTTATGGTTGTTTTCATCGCTTCTTTGCCTTCTTTGACTTGTTGAGTCAGTGCGCTGAGAACCGTAGAAGATCTTGGAACCCTCAGCCCAAGTTGTTCTACATGCCAGGCTTCAACCACGGAAGGATGCTGCCTCCCGTCCACACGCCGACTGGGGGTTCCGCTTTGGAGTGGGGCCCTTGTCAGGAATGAAGAAGTGCACTTGACTTCTGCAGTACTTGCCCGAACTTTGAGAGTCAGTCTGACAATGCCCTTCAGCTGCAGTTCGGACTCAAGCTGGCTTACGTTGAAAGCAGGCGGAACATGCAGTTCCAGAACGTGAGCATTGAGATGAAGGCAGCTCCCAAAATAGACTGGGTCGACGTTTGTCGATGTTCGGGGGGCTTCATTTCGCACCTCACACCTGACATGATAGGCCTGCTAGGTGTTACAGGGGTTTCACTAGATTGACACAAAGGTTTCTCTTTCTTGGAGGTCGAGATACAGCTTTCAAGTTTACCAGGCGCCCTGTTGTTGCGGGGCCGGGCTTGTAGGGCGCTGAGGCCTCCCACCATTTTGCGCTCTACAATGTTGCGTTCGGAATATTCTCTTCATGATTCATGGTGCGCAAATGGATACTTAAAGCCATTTAAGTCTAACCTCGCCAGCCATGTGAAATCAGGGTGCCGTTGAAGATTGACGTTTTGCTTTGGGGGCTTGCACTTTAACCAAAACAATGAATGGAATTGCCCAGGAAGGGGCCTGAAGGTTACGAGAGACGCTGTGCTCTTATGCAAAGTGTTGTGAAATGTTGTGAAAATATTCAGAGACCTTCAGACACCTCCTGCGAGGATGGGTGTGGCACAGAGATTGCCCTGGAGCGCGCCGCGTGTTCGCAAGTGGCGCTCTGGGATCCAGCTTGGGACGGGATGTCACTCACACAAGGTTGGTGGTAGCTCGGCCCTGCGGCCTGAAGAAGATGAAGACCGTGTGTTAAGGGATGTGCGGTGTAAGCTTTCCGTGAGGGGATGTAGGTGTAGTTTCCAACCGGTTCCCAGGTTTGGACCTTTGTTCCGAATCCAAGACATATGAAGCTCGAAAGCATCATGACCTGACATGTTAGGGTTGCAAGGGTTTAAGACTTGTCTTTGCTCTGCAATTCCCAAAGAGGCAGCTCTCTGCAATTCCCAAAGAGGCAGCTCCCTTCAGTGGGAGTGCGAAGGCGATTCTTGATGGTTGATGGTGTTGCTATGAGGATGTTTCTGCTCCTGTCAGAACCATGAAAATTTGAAAAATGCCGGGATCAGACTTGCAAAGCCCTCCAAAGCACCCAACCCCCAAAATTCCCTAAACCCTCGAAGCTGTGTCCTAATCAGTTAGGTCTGTCGGCACTCCCGCGGCAACAACTTGCGCAAGAAATCCCAGCATCTCACTTGCAGCAAGGGGTTTTAGGGGATGTGTGCTCGCCTGAAGCCACCCCAGCGTTGAATGCGTTAAACAAGAGTCCGTGATGCCCGATCCTCAGCTTTCTAAACCCTGCGCTCCTCAACGCGCTCCTCAACCCTTACGCCGGAACTCTGCTGCAAACCTGCCATTTCTGTGTCAGTCGAGGCGGGCTGCGCATTCCGATCAGTGGCAGGACTGGGAAGATGTTCTTCCAACTTTTGCGCACTTGTGAGGCAAGTGTGGATGAAGTCCTTTTTACGGGCGATGAAAACACGGGTTGGGGCTGAGGCATTTGCCGACATGCAACTTCGAAGATGCAAAATTGATTACTGGCACGCGCTGCAGAATTGGCCGTACTGCAATGCTTGCTTTTTTTCCCCTGCGCTCATGAAAGAAGCTTGATACCCCAAATCTTCGGTTGAAACAGTGTCACGGAATTAGTTGTGAAATGACACGACAAGCATGGGGCATGAATGCTTTAAGCCAATTGGATGTGTTTCGTACTCATTAGAGCACTCGAAATGTGTGAACATACAGGGAAAAGCCAGTTGTTCGAAAAAGCGCTGCATACGTTTGGACAAATGCTCGGGGCGGACCCTGGGTTTGCTGTGGTGTGGCTCATGTTGGAGGGGTCGTTTTGGGTTGCATGTTTGGGATAAATGGGATATTCGAGATTCGCATGGTGCAGGACAACACTGTGACAGTGATGATGAGGCACGCGAGAAGCCGAATTGCTTTGTTTCGTTTAGTGCAGAAACTGAAGCATGGTTATATAGTCCATGTTTGGATGCGCGGGTCGGCTTTAGTACTTCAGCATTCAAGCAGTCTTTTCCCACCCAAAGGCCGCTGGTCTTGGGTCTAGGGATGCCGTTTCATGGGGTTCGCCCACAGAGCCGAGGAAGGAGCGCAGACCCAAGGCAAAACCGCTTCTAAGCCTGGCTTCTGTAGCTGGTGCCTTGCACCGCACACCAGCTACTCAGCCGCAGAAGTCCGACCGGTTGGGCAGCCATCCCAGAGGTGGCCCAAAGATCCTGGCGCCCTTCTGTGACCTCAGCTCCCCAAGGAGCCCGGTGTTCCGCAACATTCCGCAACATTCCGCAACATTCCGCGACGTTCCGCGACATTCCGCGAGGCCCCCTTCTGGCCCACCCCTCCTCAGGCCACGGGGTTGGCCAGGCAGTGATCACCCAAAAGGACGGGCTTACAGGAAGAACGGAACCTCTGTGTGTCACAATTGCCTCCAGAGTCCAGATCTCGACACCCCCAATCCAAAGAGCAAGGAAGCACGAAAGGGGTGTCGAACCTTCTACACTCAAGGCACGTGCCAAGATTACTGCGGGCGAATACGGGGGACCGTTCTACTGGCTCAATGGTTTCCAGAAGCTTTGACGGGAACTGCAGTCGAGGCAACTAGAGAGTTCCGAATGAGATATGTTTCCTCGTGCATCTGTGCTATTCATTGTGCACAAGAGACCTCTCACTCGACTGGAAAGTTGATTGATGGTCGTCGCGTTGTTGAGAGGCCACCTTCATGAGGTCACAGTCGCTGTATTGCAGGGCATCCGAAGACTGGGCGCGTGCAGGGGTTTAGATCCTTTTCAACCGCCACAGCGCTTGCAAGGAATATTCCGCCGCACCATACCCAGCAGAAGCTCGTGGATGAGGCGCTCCCTCACTCTGACCCTCAACCCGCCGGATCCGGACCTCAGACCACCTTTCAAGCCCATCCGATCCTAGTGATGTACAGCAGCCGGCAACACCCCCAGACGGTGGCATTGGTCAGGCCTGCCTTCGGTAGCACTAGAATGAAATAATGGTTGGCAATAGCCAACAAACACAGCTATGCCATGGCAGGTGTGCAGGCGTGGTTGCCTCATAGTTCAGCCCCGACTCCCCTAGCCCGTATCGTTTGTGCCATTGTACGTGCTTGCCTTAGCTTGCTTCACACCCATGGTCCTTGCTGGTGGTTTGTATATGAATGCTTGTAGGGCAACACAATTCTGGGTGCGACTCTTTCTTGCAGCGAGTGGTTGAATGGAAATGCGAACTTTCGGGAATTCCCATCGTAGTTGCCCTGTGATTCTGAGCCTTTGGTTTCAGAAAAGTTTCAAGAGCCCCGTTGGGACTCTGAGATGTCTGAGGAGGTCCCTTTACGGAGGCATCCACAAAGAGGCCCAAATCAGAGCCCCCCCCCGAACGGAAAACCTTGCAATTTGCCCCATAAAGCCTGGAGATCATCTCGCCTCATCTCCCTGACCTGACCTCGAAAGACCACAAGCATGTGAGCCGATCGACCCACCCCGAAGCCGCTCGTTCTCGGCAGTTGCATGGTCGTGGCTTCGAAGGGTGCTACGATTTCTTGTACCTTCCGCCCGGAGTCCTGGAAGGGGGTGGGGGGGGGGTGTCAGGGTAAGACTCGTTCAGGGTAAGGTCGTGGCTTGGGACATCCATACTGTGCCAGGTTTATGGCACGTTGATGAAGGACGGTCCTGCAGCAGAAGGCAGTCTTTCTCTCCCATACTGCAGCTCCAGGTGTCTTAGTCAAAGACATGGGTCGCGCAACAGGGGAAGCCTCTGAGGCACAACTTTGAGCTGAACATCAACGTGGGCTACGCCTTCATCAACTTCACAGAGCCCAAGTGCGCCAGGTTGTCCATGGGAGTGTTCATGCTGGTTCTGAAGCAGCTTCCAGCCATGTTTTGCTGGATTGGGTTGGAGCAAGGACTGTGCAGAATAGGCACTTTGCAGACCCTGTCCATCGTGAGCTGCAGCGTAGGTACGCCTCGGCGTTCTATCGCCAGCTTGACGGACAATGCCTCACCAAGTACATGAGGCTTCAAGGGACTGGCTCGTTGACATGATGCGTCTCATATAAGTTATCCAGCAGATAGACGGTCGCATGGCGCTGGGTCTCGTTGCATCGGGATCACTGCGATTGCTTGTCGTGTCGAACTCCGTCCCAGGACTACGCACATTCACAAGGCTTGGTAATATCCTCCGATTGTAGACCCAGCAAAAAGCGAACATGAGACTTTCACAGAAGCGTGCAGCGGCGAGCAATGGTTCCAATTTTTTCTTTCTCAAGCATCGGCCACTGCTGCAGACTGAGTTTTGGCGATGAACAGAGGCTTGGGGGCGGGTGCGGCAACGTTGTACCGGATTTGCCAGAACCTGCGAAGGGGCGGCGGCTGCTGACCATCGTAGTTCCCTGAAGTTCGCGTGCAATCAAGTAGCTTGAGTAAGATGCAGCAACGCTAAACGGGGTCCAAGCTGACATCGTTTGCTCGAGGCTTTGTCTTTTGGGCCTCGTGATGCCATAGGAACGGCGAGGTTAATATGTATAATATACATATTATGTTATGTTCTACTAGAAAGCTCAGGGGCGATGCGGCTCAGCAACCCCTTTCACGTGCGGTATCTGAACATGACCCCTGGATTTTTGAACCCAAGAGAATCTCGGCACCCCCAGGCAGAAAGGAAAGTTCATCCGCGTGCACCCCGCTCAGCTCCAGGGATACGAGGCGCATACTACGGGTTGACATCTTGTTGGCATCGGGCTTGGAGCCGATTCGGACGATGGCTCTGCAAAGTTCTATGTAATTGTCTATGCATGTTGCTGGCCGAGCCAGGTGCTTCCCAAAAAAAAATTATACATATATATATATATATCTGGCCATCTTAGGACTCAGGCTTTTGTTCGGTTCAACATTCTGCTCACGTTGGCCCCAAACAGGTGAGAGACCATGTGGGCCCAGAAGTTCCACAGCGATGACAGTTTCGCATTTCGCGAGCTCCGAAAGCGATGAGAGCTCGCCATTTCCCGAGCCCAGAAGCCACAAAGTGATGCGAGTGACGAGGACGGCGAGCGGGGCCGCGTCTGCGCCACAGACGAGCGGGCGATTTTCATCCAAGAAGCGAGCGGGCTTCGAGAAAACAACACGGTAACACGGTCCGTCGTGGGCGCGCCGCCACATCGACCTACGCAGCCCCTCTTTCTCCAGATTGTGGAGCTCCTTAGTCTTGACACACTGTGTGGGGATGAAGTGGCGGGCCTTTGGGTTCGAGTCTGAATTGTGGTGTCCTGGAGTCAGCAGATCACTAGCAGGTCAAAGCGGGTGTGCATCGGGATTGAAGGTTTTTTGATCGTCTTGGGATGTCTTGGGGACCACTAGATGGCGTGATGGTACTCTTGATCGATGCTCATGTAGGGCGGGCTTCCAGCACTTCCCATAGAGGTGGGTTTTTGACTTCGAATGTCCTGAGCCATATCCTGTTCCACTTGCGAGGCCACCTACGACCACTTCATGCGCACCAAGATTGGGCAGAAACAGGTTGCTTTGAGCAGATTAACACTCAGGCTAGTTGTGAGCGCTTCGTGCCATCCTTCTGGCCCCAGCACCTGCTATGGGAAGGTGGCATCCTGACTTAGGGAACAGAGCATCGCACCTTAAGCCACGGCCCTGCAAGTATCTCTCCGAAGGACCCAGCCTTCTCGCCGATCTTTGACGCTTTGTTTTGCACTTAAGTGCGGGGGATAACGGGACTTCGGTCTTCACCATGTGTGTGCCTATGGTTCCAAGGATTGTGCAGTTTACCATGCTTGGCAAAAGATAAGAGCAGGCCTGCGAGGTTCAGTAGGGAAAAGCTAGGAAGCTTTCGTGGCTCCCGAACTTTGTCGCAGTTCGTTCGGCTGCCGTCCAAAATGTTTTGTCAAAGCCGAAGGTTTCACAGGTTTCTCTTGTTTACCCGCGCGGTGCCTCAGGCCGTTGCCAAGAAGGCGCATGAAGGAGCCCCCCGCCGCGACGGACATGCCTGAGCCAGTCGGAGGAGCGTGCATGGCCATCATGGCATCTTTAACCATCAACAGCTCGTTCTAAGGGGCACTCAGTGTGCTCTCAGCCAAATTGTTTTATCCAGAGCGCGCTAGGGCCGCGCTTGTGTTGCGTTCTGCAACTATCTTCCACATCGCGGGGGCACGTGGGGCTCTTTGCGATCTAGGGGCAGTGACTGCCAGGCTGGTCTTTTTAAGTCTCATCACAGCGGCACACTGCAACCTCTCCTGTGCACGGGGACTCCGGTTCCTTGCTTCTGACTCGCTCATGCTCACTCCTTCCTGTCGATGGCCCTAGGCATATAGTCTGGCTTTGGCATGTTTTTTGGCAGGGCTTTCATTGACCAGCGTGCCTCGCCACAGAAGACCGGCTCACTCACAGGGCGGAGTGCGTTAGCATGCGCCGTTTCGCATTGCCCTCGAAGAGAAGGTCATGCTAATCGACAACCAAGGTCTCGTCGCTGCCGTGTCGTAGGACATTCTCCTAGGGTCTTAGAGATTGCAGCATCAGGCATTCCCGGAGCATTCCCGGAAACCCTCTGTTCGCTGAGATGCCGGTTCATTCTGAGAACATACATGACTCGTCACGACAGATACTCGGCCCCCAGCAAAACCTTACTGCAACGGCGGCCAACCTTCCCTTTGCGTTGTCGTGTTTGAATTGTTTCGATGCCCTCAAAGGGCAGATTTGAGGCTCTTGATTTGCCGAGCAGTTTGTGCCCGATGCGCGCAGCGCGCAAATTCCAAGCCGAACCCGCCTGCAGGTGCGGACAAAAAAATAGCAGCAGCCGTCAGACACTGGAAGTTTCAGTTCCTGAGCCTTGAAACCGACATTATGTCGCCCATGGGGGTTCAGGCTCTTAGAGGGCTAACTTAGAGGATTGTTGCTGTCAGCCGGGTAAGGTAAGGCCCCCAAGATTTAACGAGAAAATAGCCACCTCAATTGAACCCTTCCGAACCCCCACAAGACCCGAAGATGGACGCCTAGGCCCGGGCTCCGCGGTGCTCTCCGCTGCAAGCCCCAACGGAACGCACAAGGCAGCGCTGTGCAAGTATACTGTGCACCGACCGCGTAGCACCCAAAGGTCAGCGGGTTCATGCAAGGCAGGGCCCAGGGTTGCTGGTTTTTTTGCGCCGTTTGACTGCGACGACCGTAGAGATCCAAATGCCATCTAGGCCAATACACGCGGAGTCTGCGAGCTTGAGGGTCGGCCGATGCCCTTGCTGTTCTTAAACTCAAACGGTACGCGCGGCATGTGCAAAGCTTGGCGATTGAGGAGCGGCCTGACTTCATGTTTCCGAAGCATTTGGCCAGTCTTAGTCTTGAGGGTCATGGTTTTCCTGATCCTTCAGCGCCAGGACCCACTTTAGGGCGACTCGAACAACTGCCATACCACAGGTTCATGATTCCAGTGCAGTGGCCTAGGAAGCTGAGCTTGAGGGAGGGAGGGCTGCGAGATAAAGATTGGTGGGTTCAGCAGACTCAGTTGACCACTAGCTTACGTTTTCCGCATGCGTCTCTGTGCCATGGAATGATGCGGCAGAGGCGGCACGCAGCCCGTGGCGCTGGCCTTGTGCTTACTTCGCTGGCCTTTCCGTTGTGGAAAGCGCTTCCTGCCAGCTCAGCGACAAGCCCAGCCTTTCTTGGCGGACCAATACCCGGAGGACCTCGACAGCCAAATGGCTTTCTCGTAGCGAACAGACCTCAAGTACGAGGCAGCGTCGCACGGATCACTCGGTCCGCAGTCTTCAGCGTTATAGCTGAGGAAGTGAACAATCGGCCAGTCTTTTTCTTTGGAGAGGTGTTCATCATTGTTGTGTTGTCGGCAGCCTTTGAGAAGGCAGAGAAATGGATTCGTAAGGAGCTGAAAGCCAGCGGTGACACTACGGGACGTGAAATTCTTGATGCCCTCTTCCGTGAGATTACCATTCTGGGTTTCATCGGCCTCCTCCTATTTGTTCTGACGCACTTGATACCAGAAGATGCCCCTTTGATATACTTGGGTTCGGATGCATACAACATACTGCCAGAAACCTTTGAGTATGTCCACATGGCAACATTCTTGCTTCTGGTCGTGCTACTATTTCAAGGGTTCGCTGTCCTAAGACTTTCGCGTGACACAGCACGAACATGGGCCTACTACGAAACCACCCGCGCCTTCGGGAAAGATCCATTGTCAATGGAATCGCTGCTGGTTTCAGAAGGCTACTTGGAGCGATCTGCGTCTGACGCTAAGTCGCAGACTGATATTGATGAGTCTAAGATTGAGCTGAGAATGCTGAAGACATTTTCCTATGGTGATACAATTCTTGAACGAGCTTCTCTTCGTAGCAAGTATGTGCACAAGCTGATCATGTGGAGAGCGGTTCGTCACGGCTTTCTCTTTGAAGGCGCACAGAGTGATCTTCTCGCTTCGGAAGGTATAATTCCTGGACTCTTCAGCTTCGAAGTCTTTTTGGAACAACAGCTGGCCCAAATCGCAGCTTGGACGCAAACCGAAGAAGAACCAACAAGTCTCGCCCAATAGATTCTCACGAAAGTGCAAATGGAATGAGATCGACCAAGTACATAACGCAGCACGCACGCCCCCCCGAAGCCCAGCCCCCCCTCTCCCCCCCGAACCCCGTTTTTGTTCTGGAACGAGGTTTTGTCTTTGGTGGAGGTGGACGTGCTGACGTGGTTGTATGCCCTTGTGCTAGTGGGCCTGGTGACAGGAATTTGCCTCTCCCTTGACTGGGTAAATGGACAAGCCATGCAATGCTTTTGCTCCTGGACCCTTGCGGCATTTGCCTTTGCCCTCTCAATCGTCTTGGAGGAGGACACTTATGAGCTAACTCCACGAGTACCTGAGGATCCTCGACAAATTCTCCGCATGTTCTCGGGGACATCCATCCAGATGCTGCGGAGGGCCTCATTCCTGGATTCCACACTGGCACCGGGTGAAAGCCGGGGAGGTAGGCGGTATCGCCCGCGCTGTCCGGGGGTGGAAGGCTCGGAGGTGCCCCGCATCCAAGAAGCCAAACCGAAAGAAACGAGCAACTTTCTGCTTGTCCAACAGTACACGGGTGTTTTCAAACTGCTTTGCTTCCTACAAGCAGCCATTGTCGCTTCCCTCATGGTCAATTGGTTGAATGGCAGTATCCATGGCTGGGACCGAGTGGTGCCTTTCACACTTGCCTGGGCAGAATGGCCATTGATGCTATATGTGCTGATTCCAGATTTAGTTCGTCGTCTCACTGTCAGAGCTGTTGTGACACGCACTCAAACCAACAACTGGTTCGTCGATAAGCAACGTGGTCTTGTGAGGAAGGTCAGAATCACTGGTATTGAAGGGCTCCTGCGTGGCTGCACGCGGTTGATCCACTTGCAGGGCATGGAAGCTAAAGCCGTGATGAACGGTGAACCTTGGGCCCAGAGTAAAGCCAGTGCCCAGGCTTTGACAGGAAGATCTGCTGAGTCTTTGAAGAAAATTGCAAGGGCATCTGCCAGAGAGAACGTGAAACGAGGGGGTAAGATCTTCGACCAGATCTCACCAAACTTGAAAACGGAAGTGTTTAGTGTGTTTGCCAGTTGGGACGTCCGAAATCAAAGCGCTGTTGCCGCTTCTGAGCTGGCCAAAAACATGGAGTTGCTGGGCTTTGTGGCAACAGCCGACCGCGTTGCTCACAATCTGATCAGGCTGGTGGATGATGATGGAAGTGGACTACTCACTTGGAGGAAATGCAGAAGCTTGTTCATGTTAGCAACAGCTGCCCGCCCCATGGATGAACGACGCCGAGATTTGGAGGCTTTCTTTTCAAGAATCCAAAAGGACAGTCCTCGCCGCGCAACTGTTTTTGAGATAGCAACAGCTCTGCCACTTCAGATCAGAGACGATGACCTGGCGACCTTGATGTATGTGTATTTTGGGCGGGTCAAGCCATCTGTGACCAGAGCCGAGTTCGTTGAATGGGTAGAGGCCATTGAGATGTCTGGGGTCCTCTCGAAACGTGAAGCTTGAACTGCGAGTGCCTTTGGTTGGGGAGCATGCCAGAGAATTGCTCGGAAGAAAATGGACTGTGCGTTAGATGTTTCCCTGGTGCAATGAGAACGACCTGAAACGACTTTCCATTCATAGTAGTTGTTATTTGCTTTCGAGCAGCCGTCATGCAAATCGCAGTGTCATTGGACATTGTCTTGTGGGGCTTGAAGGTGACGGAGACGGAGTAGCAGCACGACCAATGCAAAGCGATGCAAAGCTCCCCCATCCGAGGTGCAAATCTGCGGCGTTTTCTCGGTACCCCCAGCTGGCGACAAATTTGTTCAGCGCGCGAGTTCCAGGATATGACTCTGAGCCCCGGAAACCATGATACCACGAGCACCACGCGGCTTGCGTTCGCAGCTCTAGGGAACGACAGAATGGGTGCACCAACAGTGACGCGAGCAAAGCACTCCACCGATTCCGGCGGCGTATGCAGCGCGCACGTGTGGCACAAACTGTAGCAGCATTGCAGTTCGGGGCCCTCCTTCGCTGTAGCCATTTCCCTCAATCCAAGCGTGTCTTTCGTGATTTCCTGGATGAGGCGAAGCTTCTTGGGATCAGGGATCCTTGGCTGATGCAGGCTGGAGGATGTCTGATTCTCCATTTTGTGACACCCATTGCCATGGAAGAGTCTTCGACAGCTCTTCACAGCAGTGAACGCTCTCTTCTTTTCGCATCTGCAACCGTCATTGACTGCATGTCTCTCCCTCTCCCTCTCCCTCTCCCTCTCCCTCTCCCTCTCCCTCTCTCTCTCTCTCTCTCTCTCTCTCTCTTTTTCTGAACACTACTTTGCCACATGTCGAGCATAGAAATATTGCAGATATGCATACAAATAGACAGACATGACCGGTTGCCGCAAACGCGAGCCTGCCTCCGAAAGTGCAAAAATCAATGCATGGTGTGGCGTCAGAATTCAAAGTAACGGAGCACCATGAAATTGAAGCGTTTCAAACAACCCATACACTTTTTGGCTTCAAGGTGTATCAAGTATGTCGAGTATGTTAGGACCATGCTAAGAGAAGTGACGCACAGCTGTAAACCTTTTAAACTCATTTGTGTGTGTTTTGGCAAGATTTTGCCTCAGCAAGACTCGGCTGGAGCCGCGAGGAGGCTGTGCCAAACAATCTGCTAGGTTCAGTCCTTTTCGTTTTGTGTCAGATTTGCTTCCGCTAGCAGGCAGCCTTTGGCACGAGGCAATGTTTTGACTAGATGCTTGTGGATGCATCTTATGCGATGTGGGAGGCATGGGTCTATCTGGACAAGCTCTAGGTATTCGTAGGTCATCCTGCATGTGTGATTTGGGCAATGTCAGCAGAAGTTATGGCGACGCGCAGCCGTGCATACATTTTGCTACGCCACATGCCCCCATGGTCACATGGTTGTTTCCACATTGCTAGTATTGCGCTATTCCCTGCAATAAATATTTCTTGTCTTTTTGCAAGCAGTCGCCCTTGCTTTCCTTCGCTTCGCGCTTCGCTTCGCGCTTCGCTTCGCGCTTCGCTTCGCGAAGCTGACTGGCAGATTAGCAGCCTCTCCTGGTTTGGAACTAACGGGGCTGCCAGCTCTCAGCTCATTGTTGCGGCTGCTGCGCACATTGACACGCATTTGGTAGATTGGAACATGCTGAAACTGTCTGTGCCACCTGGTTTCGGCTCTGCTAAATATGGAGGACCAGGCCCGAACCTCCTTCAAGTTTCGTCCCACAAAACTCATGATCATCGGGCATACTTGGTCAGAAAGCTTGTCAAGATGAAAAGCGAAGAGTTTCCACATCATTCCAGTACAGTGGCCTTGGAACCAAGAGCTTGAGAGAGGGAGGCCTGCAAGGCGATCAGGACTTAATTGACCACGAACAAGCTTGCGTATACCGCATAAGACTTCGTACAAGACCCGAAACGCCAGACTGGCCTCCGAGTCTCCGTGCCATGGAATGATGCGGCAGAGGCGGCACGAAGCAGGTCGACTTGGCCTCGTGCTTACTTCGCTGGCCTTTCTGTTGTGGAAAGCGCTGCCGGCGCTGCCTGCCAGCCCGACAAGCCCAGCCTTTCTTTGCGGACCAAGACCCGGAGGACCGCGACAGCCAAATGACTGCCTCGTAGCACGCAGACCTCAAGTACGAGGCAGCGTCACTCGGATCACTCGGTCAGCAGTCTTCAGCGTCCTAGCCGAGGAAGTGAACAATCGGCCAGTTTTCTTCTTCGGAGAGGTGCTCATCATCGTTGTGTTGTCGGCAGCCTTTGAGAAGGCAGAAAAATGGCTTCGCAAGAAACTGAAAGCCAGCGGTGACACTACCGGAGGGGAAATTCTCGATGCCCTCTTCCGTGAGATTACCATTCTGGGTTTTATCGGCCTCCTCCTATTTGTTCTGACGCACTTGTTACCAGAAGATGGTCCTTTGATAGACTGGGGTACAGAGGAGTTCAACATACTTCCAGAAACCTTTGAGTATGTCCACATGGCAACATTCTTGCTTCTGGTTGTGCTGCTGTTTCAAGGGGTCGCTGTCCTAAGAATTTCGCGTGAAACAGCACGAACATGGGCCTATTACGAAAGCACCCGGGCTTTTGGGAAAGATCCGCTATCAATAGAATCGCTGCTGGTTTCAGAAGGCTACTTGCAGCGATCTGCGTCTCCTGACGACAGGTCTGACCAGTTGGAGATTGATGAGTCTATGTCTAAGATTGAGCTGAGAGCGCTCAAGAAGTTTTCCTATGGTGAGACAGTTGTTGAACGGGCGGCGCTTCGTAGCAAGTATGTTCACAAGCTGATCATGTGGCGAGCTGTTCGTCATGGCTTTCTTTTTGAAGGTGCTCAGAGTGAACTTCTCGCTTCGGAAGGAGTTATCCCTGGGCTCTTCAGCTTTGAAGCCTTTTTGGAACAGCAGCTGGCCCAAATCGCGGCTTGGACGCAAACCAAAGAACAACCTGCAACTCTCGCCTAATGGATCCTCACGAAGTCCTTGCCCTGTCTGAACCAAAACGTATCCCAGCCCATTGCTGGAGACTTTGGCAAGTGGAATAGAATGAGATCCACCTAAGCCCACCCACCCCCCCGCCCCCTCCGGCCCCGAACCCCGTTTGTGTTCTGGCACGAGGTTTTGTCTTTGGTGGAGGTGGACGTGCTGACGTGGTTGTATGCCCTTGTGCTAGTGGGCCTGGTGACAGGAGTTTGCCTCTCTCTTGACTGGCTGAATGGACAAGCCATGCAATGCTTTTGTTCTTGGACCCTTGCGGCATTTGCTTTTGCCCTCTCAATCGTCTTGGAGGAGGACACTTACGAGTTAACTCCACGAGTACCTGAGGATCCTCGACAAATTCTCCGCATGTTCTCCGGGACATCCATCCAGATGCTGCGGAGGGCATCATTCCTGGATTCCACACTGGCACCGGGTGAAAGCCGGGGAGGTAGGCGGTACCGCCCACACTGTCCAGGAGTGGAAGGTTCGGAGGTACCCCGCATCCAAGAAGCCAAAAAGCAAGAGCCGAGCAACTTTATGCTTGTCCAAGAGTACACGGGTGTTTTCAAGCTGCTTTGCTTCCTGCAAGCAGCCATTGTTTCTTCTCTCATGGTGGATTGGTTGAACGGCAGTATCCATGGCTGGGACCGAGTGGTACCTTTCACACTTGCATGGGCAGAATGGCCATTGATGCTATATGTGCTGATTCCAGACTTAGTTCGTCGTCTCACTGTCAGAGCTGTTGTGACACGCACTCGATCCGACAACTGGTTTGTCGATAAGCAACGTGGTCTTGTGAGGAAGGTCAGAATCACTGGTATTGAAGGGCTCCTGCGTGGCTGCACGCGGCTGATCCACTTGCAGGGCATGGAAGCTAGAGCCGTGATGAACGGTGAGCCTTGGGCCCAGAACATGGCCATTGCCCAGGCTTTGACAGGACGATCTGCGGAGTCTTTGAATAAAATTGCACATGCAGATGCCATTGGCAAGGTGAAACGAGGAGGCGACATCTTCGACCAGCTCCCGTCAGGCTTCAAAACCGAAGTGTTTAGTGTGTTCGCCAGTTGGGATGCCCGAAATGATGGCTCTGTTGCCGCTTCTGAGCTGGCCAAAAACATGGAGTTGATGGGCTTTATGGCAACAGCCGACCGCGTTGCTCGCAATCTGATCAGGCTGGTGGATGATGATGGAAGTGGACTGCTCACTTGGAGGAAATGCAGAAGCCTGTTCATGCTGGCCACAGCGGCCCGCCCCGTGGAGGAACGGCGGCGAGATCTGGAGACCTTCTTTTCAAGAATCCAGAAGGAGACTCCTCACCGTGCAACTGTCTTTGAGATTGCAACAGCTCTGCCACTTCAGATCAGCCCCGATGATCTGGCGACTTTGATGTATGTGCATTTTGGACGGGTCAAACCGTCTGTCACCAGAGCCGAGTTCATTGAATGGATCGAAGCCATCGAGGAATCCGGGATCCTCACCAAAAAAGCATGAAGTTTGGTATGCGAGCAATATTCGTCGATTACGACGATGACCAAAATCAGGCTCTTATGATCTCTTCCTTAGCTCCTAATGGAACATTCTCTGTTCGAGTTGCAGGCCGATGCTTGTGCCATTTTTTTCCCCTTCCCCCAGGCAAAAGTCTGTGGGAGCGTTCCTCAGGGACGTTTTCGGCGCTGCACAGGATCCAATACGGGGTCGGACAGCTGACTCCAGGGTTCTGCCTCCAGCGCATGTGGCAGAATGATACCCAGACCCAGAGAAGCTTGCTTGTAAGAATTGTAAGAAAATGGACTTTGCGTTCGCTGTTGTCCGTTGATGGAATAACAACAGCTGGAATTGAGGCCGTTTCCTGTTCAGTCATTTTTTGGCCCTGTCTTGCGATACTTACGAAGTTTCCATGTCATGTGTGCATCCACCTTGCTCTGAGTTTTGCTGACATGACGGTAATTCATTCAGCAAAGACCGGCTCCAAGCAAAGAAGAACAAGTCTAGCGTTTCTCTGTGCATCGTGCTACTGGTTGTCTGGTATGGAGGAATAGAATCCGGGGATGGCTGTGTATGAGCTTTCCCATCAGTGGCTCGCAGCCTTTCGACGTGGCTCACATGCAGGTCAGAGTGTGGCACGGTAGTTATAGACTGCCGATCACCACTTACTCGCGATCTACGGTATGGCTTCACCCAATCCAGAGCTGCAAAAGAGGGTTTAGGTGCCTCCTCATGGATCTAGGGACTGCGGGGAAGGAACAGAGAACTGCCGCGGTCCTCCTGTTCCCATCGCGCCATGACTGTGGACGCAGCTGCTTTGCTGACACCTGACGGACTCGTCCATCGCGGGCACAGCGTGTGCAGCGAGGATTGTCTGAACACGGGGCAGATCGGGCGTTGCTCAGCGATGTTTTCTGCAGTTCTTGTGACAAATTCAGTCGAAGTCTAAATATGTAAAAGTCATATTTCTGGAAGTTGATATACATATATTCACATATATCTATATGAATTTATATATGTACTTAATATATGTACCAAAATCCTCCTCATGATAAGCAAACGTTGAATCTGAACAACTCTGCGACGAAAGCAGTTGGAAAAAAAATATTTCAACAAGTTTCTTGGAAACAATACACAAACGTAAATGTACAATAACCGCGGTTTCTCAGGCCGACGATCGGCGTAGCACCTCTCGTTCGAAGGACCTTGCAAACTGGTATGTACACAGGAAGCAAGTCTGCGGCTTCATCATACGTTAAAGTTAAAGAAAAGAGGAGACAGCTGCTTATCCAAATGCAAGCAGCAGGCCGTAAACATCCAAGGCTATGGAGATGCACACGTGGGGAGCACAGATTTGCCTAGATGCGTTCTCAACGTCTTGCTGTCCGTTCTGGGTGCCGGGCAGCTGACATTGCCCTACGCTATGCACAAGTTGGGCGGGCTTTGGTGGGGCAGCTCAAGTACGCAAGTGAAGCTTTTGTGTTCCTTATGCAATTCCGAAGTGGTGAAGTTACTTGCCGGCATGTCTGCAGCTATTTGCTGCTGTTGATCATTGAGGTGTCCTCTCCTTAGTCGTCTTCACTGCCCTCTCAATGCACTCCTTGAAGACGCTCTCCTACTACGAGCTGTACTACACGCCGCAAGGAGAGGACCACTTAACGGAACCCGGTGGATGGTTGGTCGTTTGCATTCTGTACCATCCTACATGCCAATCTTGACTCAGTAATGCTATGTGTGCTAGCTTTGCTGGAGTCGACGTGTCGATGTACATCTTCGCACGTTGGGCTTGAGTGGTCGAGCTCACCGTTCTTAGAATAGGCCTTTGGAATCTGCACCGGGATGCCGATACATTCGCATATTGCTGGTGTGTGCCGGCAGGAATGGAAAGAACTGTGGACTGCACACATTTTCTGCGTCCGAATCCATTAACGCGGAGATTTTTCACGCAAGCAAGAAAGAAAGTTCTAAAGCGTGTCCAAGATCCTTTGTAGACTGCGGCACCTACTGTGGTGAACAGCCATGCACAAAACATGCTCAAGGCTTCACCTGTGCCTAGACTGAAGAGCGCACGGAAAGCACGCAACGCAGGCGACTCAGGACAAGTACACCGAATGCACTGCAGCACTCTCCTTTGTGCCTTCGTCAGGAGAGCACGACCAGCAAACTGTACATGTCCTTTTGCCTTCTGGGAAGAGCTCCTATGCCTGGAAGGAATGTTGCTTGTAGTAGCCGCACACTGGCAGGCGGGCCTCACTTTGAAGGCTCTCTGGGTTCCTCTGACAGAAATCAGAATGCCGTGCAAGGGTGGAGCTTGGCAGGAAATGCAATGCGGTGCACGTCGTATCCGTCAGAGCGGCGAATGCTTTAACTTGTGCTTTGTGTGGGTTGATCTCGCATGCGCTGCAACTCGATGCTTTCAACGAGCTGAGATAAAAGCACGCTCATCCCGGCCTCCTGCGGGAGATGATGCATCTGAAGCACGATCTTGGGATTCCTGCATGTGATGGCGGCTCATCAGGCCTGTATTCAGGGACAGTCTTCCATCCCATCTGCTTGCGGCAACACTTACCACTTACGACCTGAAGCGCCGCGAGCAACACAAACGCAGGCGCTAGCCAGAGTTGCAGCGCCTGCTTCCGTTCACTGCGAGTGCCGCCGTGCACTTTTGTGTGCGACGCACTATCCGCAAAAATGGCGGTGCTCCTCCTGGACCGGAGGCTCGGGCACACCTAGAACCAAAACGCCGGGGCATTCCCTCTTCAACCCGACCTCGGGCTCGGTAATGGAGTGCTCGCGGCTGCAGCGAGCAAGTTGCCAAATACGACACCCGAGGACGGCCTCACCTCAGCGTGGGCTGCTAACTTGTGTCACGCACACCACCACCACCGCCGCCGCCGTTGCCCGGACCCCCACCACCACCGCCGCCGCCACCACCATCACCACCACATTGCGCCACCTATTGAGTTTCGGAGCCGCCTCCCTCGGCCCCTAGCTGGCACCTGTGCTGCTTCGTTGGCCTACCCTTCCCCGGGCGGGTTGCGCTGCGAAACGACTGTTGGAAGCCTTGCAGCCCGGACCACAAGCTGGACCCAAACCCTGAAGCTAACATTGCAGGCGCACACTTACGCGCAAGCAAGAAACAAAAGTCTTGAAGTCTTCAGTCAAAATCACGCTCCAGGCTTGAACCATGCCTAGCCTAGAGAGCGGCGAAGAAACAAGCAATGCGACGGACTGCGGACTTGTGCAGGAGACTGCGCTTCGGCACCTGCCCTAGAACCCTAGTACCCTATACATGCTACGCCAAAAAATGCGGGCGACCGCAGAACCCTCAACGAATCCACACGAACTCGGCTGCCAGGCTGCTTGGAGTCCTATTCAGAACTCGTGATCCGGGTCTTGGGTGGCTCCTTCTCGCTTCTTTGTCAGTTCCTGCTCATCTTCTATGCCTGGGGCGGCGCGGTGGCGTTCCTGGTGATCCTGAAGTGCCTGGGTCCTTGTTATCGTTGATGCTATTGAGTGGTACTTGCCTGCGTGGAAAGGAGATCTTATTATCCCGATTATCCTTTTCTGTCTGTGGACATTTTGATGTGCTTTTGGTCAGGGCAGAGTTTCTCGCCTTCTTTCCTTCTTGTGGACGAGCAGTTCTGTGTGGCATCGCCTGCTTTCTCTGGTGCTTGAGCTGCTTTGATTGAATTCAAGCGGACATTCCCAGGAATTCGTGACTTTGCGATGTGCTGATATTCCACACGCAGCCCTGCCAAAAGCAACAGAAGCAGCACACCTTAAGTTTCACCTTCATCTGCATGTGCAGACAGACACGTAGAGAGACGTTCGTGGACAAGCATCGATGCCGAATGTCAGGCTTTGGCAAAGCCAAAGTTTTGAAGCCGTAACAGTGTTCTTGCAAGCCAGGTTCCTGTGAAGATCTAACGTTTCTGAAGAAGTTCTCTTGGCTTGGATGTGTGGTAGCGGTCCTGATCACCTTGGTCACGGTCTTTGTGGCACAGCGGACATTGGCAACAGTGTCAGATTCGGTGATTCGTGCATTGCGCCCTATGAGCTCATTGTTCAGTGCTGTCACCGGAAACTTCGGGTTTTGTGAACCCCATGAGGTAAAAAGTCATAGTGCTGGCAAGAACAATGACAACAATGGCAGAGAAATAGTCGCGGCAACGCCACAGTTTCAGCAATTGTAGAACTGCCGCACAGGTGTCACCGCCTGATGTGACGGAGCAAAGCTTGCAGCAGTTTTTTAGCTCATCCCATGAGCCCAGTCTTCTTGATGTTGCGGCATCACTGCCGCTCATCTCTTTTTCGCTGAACTCGAGCTGGGCCTACATCCCAGTGCTGTGCACCTTGTCAGACAAAAGCCGTACAAGCAGCCTCATCCTTTGGAGCAATGTCCTGATCCTCCTGAACTATCTGACCCTGGCGATCAGTGGCTACTGCAGGTTCGGTAAGGATGTCAAGCCCAATATCATGGACTCGTTGGGCAGCGACTACGCAGATTCATGGATGGTTCGCGGCGCCAAGATTGTCCCTTGGTTCCGTGCTTTCCGATGTGCCTGAGGTCGTGCGGGGATGAGAGTCAGGCGTGCAGGCAAAGGAGCATGTAGCAGACGAGCCTTTCCTTTCTTTCCACTAATCTCAGGCTTTGTGTGTTCAACTTACACTGGCCTTGCCTCTGCGGTTCTTCGTGGCGCGGAAGACAATCCAAGATGGATGCCCTTCTCTTGCAAAATCCAGTGGCCCGCCTTGATCAAGGGCACGGTTCTTGAATGACTCGCGCATTTTGGCAGATGTGACTTATGTATACATCCAACCAAATGAACTAGCTCCTGATAACTCCTTCGATGGAAACCTGAATCTCATTCTGCTCAGTTATCTTGTGGCGGGTGGGCCCGTCTTTTTAACTGGAGAGATGTCAGTTTAGTTTGTCTTTCCACGCGGGCAATTCTCTAAACTGTGCTGGTCCTGTTCAGGGTACCCGAAGTTGTACACGGCTCCATGGGCAGAAGGGTTGGCGGGGCTCTTGGCTCGGCGGGGTCAAGGCCCAAAGAACCAATGATCTCCATGCCAGGCGTCGCAAGGAAATCAAACCAAGATCTCTGTTCTACTGTACGTACTTTCGCTCTGTTTGGCGATAATGTGTCATTTTTGAGTCACGCGGCCCCTGTGCCCTCATTGTTTTTCCTAGAAGTCCTATGTGCTGACGGGTTCCCAGGCGAACCAAAGGATCTGTCGGAGGGTCCTGGAATTTCCGAAGGTTCACAAAAGGGGATCCATGGCATGGCTGGATGACGCCGCCCCACATCCAGTGAGTCAAATCTCCCAGCACGTGCAATCTCGGTTGAACGCTTCCAAAACCAACGGTCGTGGGCAAAGGGAAGGATGAAAAGGGGGGGGGTTGGGGGTCGGGTTTTGTTTCTGTGGTCGGTTTGGGAGGCGACATCAGGCGGGAAAAACCAAGGGGTCATGACAAACCTGCGGTGCCGCCTGGCAGAGAAGTGAAATACTTGTAAGTCTCCGCACGGGGCTCAAAAACGGCCCCCATATTTTAAAGGTTGCACAACTATCAGACGATGTCAGACGATGTCCAGAATCCTGCGATGTCTCTTCTGCAGGAGCAAGTTTGGCCTTTGCCTTGGTCTTGGCAGCCACCCTCGCAGCGCTGCCAGATGTCTCGCTGGCCACGGTTCTGGGCATCGTTTCCGGTGGCTCCGCTGACGTCCGCTGTTGTGTTCCGCTGTCTTGTCATGTCTTGTTTCGGAGGTCCGACATTTCAGCCGTTTGTTCTAGGGAAATGTGAGGGGGACGGGGTGTTCAGAATTTGGGTCCAAAGTGTCAAGTGGTTGCTCTCGATTCACCAGTCTTGGGATCTTTGACATCAATTGTTTGAAGATGGGATGCTCGCTCTTTGTGTATGCCTGGGTTCGTGTGTGTGGTACATTGGAAAAAGCATGCTGCCGCTGCACTCTGGCTGTTCCTGTAAGATGCACCTTGCGCTCGAGGAATATGCGCTAGCATGATCATCTACATCTTGCCGGCCATCATCGATTTGAGGCATCGCCGAACTATCACCCCTTCGGGACTTCGTGGAACAGATTTGGCCTCCCTGTTCCTTTCACTGGTGAGCCTGATCGTGGCTTGCATGTCGTTGGCCGGATGTCTCGATTGGTTTGTTCCGGGTCCGGAAGCTGTTTTGTTCCAAAGGCCAAGCAGTGCCGCAACAGACCGTAGACGCCGTAGACTCATGTAGACTCCAAAACCCATAATACTCTTGTTGCTTCCGTCATATGTCTCACGAGGTAGCGGGGCTGGTAAGGGAAGAGGGTTTACCCACGTGCTTCCACCGACTCACCGAGGTTGGTATTTTGATTCTGCTTGGGAGTCTCTGGGCAAATGCCATGGGTGTGGCGGTTGGGAGTTAAAGAGCCGCCGGCCAAAAGCCCCCAATGGATGAACAAGATGGCCGGAAGCTGTTTCGTCTGCATTGCCAACTAAGTCCTTTTAGGGCGTGGGAAAAACTCCGAGGGGCCCAGTCCGACCCGCCAAGCTGCGGAAATAGACGGCCGCAAGCGTGAGAAAGAGAGGGAGGGAGGGAGGGAGAGAGAGAGAGACCGATACAGAGAGCTGTAGAGCTCAGTTTCACGCGAACAGGCATGACAACTGTTCGAGGGTTCGGGGGTAAATGCGTTGTTCGACTGACGTGGTTCCAGTGTTGAGCCGTGTAAGCAGCCTGAAGTAACAGGGGGTTCTCTGCTACCGACCCTTTAGGTTCCCACCCTTTAGGCTTGGGTTTTGGTCTCTGGTAAAGAGGATAATTCAAAAAAGAAAGCAGCCCAACTGCACATCCTAAGTAGCCCGGTAAAACCAACTTGGCTCCTCGTGTGCAGGCATCTTGGCTCCGGGTGTTGGGTTCAAGAAGTCTCCGTGGGCAGCAGCCCCACCTTGTCTTTCCTAAACTCCTGCGCGATGGAGTGGGATCCGTCTCATTTCGTCGATGGCACCCCGAGCCTCCCGAGCCAGTCTCCGGGAGAGGAAGGTGCGGTTCGAGAGCTCGGAAGTGAGGGGTTCAAGGGCGTAAAAGGGTGTAAAAGTGAGAAGAACATTGGCGGCTTCGGCTTGTGCTTGTTCCAGGAGTTTGGCACTTCAGGGCCTCGGCCTGCGCTTAGGGTCTTGAAGACTCACTAGTCTTGAGCCCTGAGCTCCTAAGCGAGATCCTAGCTTCATCGCGTATCGGGCATTCTCACCAGCGATGAAAAAAGCACCCGGCCTTGTGGGAGCATTCAGAGAGCATAGCGCCTCAAGTTCTGAACGCTGAAAAACAGGCGGTTCGAACGAAAGCTTCGAGGATGCCATAGCGGAGTTCATCTCGAGACACTTCAGCCGCATTCATTTCTGAGAGCAATGCTGTGAGCTGAGTAGTGCTCTAAGTTTGGGACATCACCTGTAACTTTTCAGTCGTCCCAAGCGGCATCGCTCTACAGTAAGCGCCCTGCGAACAAACAAGTTTCTGTATTGGCAGAACAGAAGCCCCCGGCTTTGACCTCGAACAGGCCAACTCCACAAACCGAAGTGACCAAGGAATGGAGCCAACCAGGCCAGACATCATTCAGGCTGCTCAGGCTCACCAGGCTCTCAGGTACTTCGGTCAGGTCTTGCGCACGGAGGGCTGGCAGACTCATGTGTTCCGTCGTGTCAGCTTCCCGACGGACAAGATCGATGAATTTTGGAGCCATAGCTGGCATGGCAACAAGTGGAGCAAGATTCTTACTGCCTTCTTCTTGTACAACTTCAAGGCGGCAGCAACGGCTTCAACCCTCGGCGCCATGTTGATGATGATCCTTTTTTCGATGGGTCTTCTGCCTGATCTTCGCCTTGAGAATCCGACATATCCTTCGAGCTCATGGTGGTGCACTGCCGTGGGTTTCTATTTGTACCTTTTGGTGTCAATCTTTTGGAGGCCATGGAAACACATATTTCTAGATGTTCTGTGCATCGATCAGCAGAACGAGGATGAGAAAGTGGCCGCCATTGTCAGCATGGGGGCCTTTCTGAAATGCTCAGATGCCCTCCTCGTCCTGTGGGATCCGTCATACACCCATCGCCTGTCACTTGGCGTTAAGGTTTTGGGGGCCGATTTTCTGTCCCCCAAGTTCAGGATATATTCACGCGGCTGAGGTGGTGCGTGTTCGAGATGGCAGCCTTCCTGCATAGCCGTCCAGCAAGTCAGAAGGCAAAGCTTATCATAAGACCAACATTCCTGGGCCCTTGCTTAGTTTCAGTGCCTGTGGGCTTATCGTGTGTGGTGCTCGCGATGACGTTTCTACCGTCAGCAGTGCTGGACCAGCTTGATGACGAGCAGACTGTTCTATGGCCGGTGCTGGGCACATTGGTTTTTCTTGCCTTCTACACGAGCGTGGCAACCAGTCGTGCCTACTTCCGATCTGTGGAGGTGCTCCAGGAGGAGTTGAGCCGCTTCGTGGCTCACCCCAACTTGATCAAACCCTGTCCATTTTGGAAAAGAACAATCTCGAGTTCGCCAGTGTCGGGTTGCTTATGGGGGATCTGAGGTGGCCAGCAGCACCCTTTGCTGGTGCTGCTCTCAGGACCACAGATCAGTTTCAGGTGAAGTCCTTGCTTGCGATCGTCGGATCGTGCTGCAGTGCATCACATCATGGTGTCTTGGACTACCAGAATTACCCGCGCACGCTTGAAATCCTGTAGCAAAGGCAGCCCTTCACAAGAACTTGAGACTTGAAACTGCGCAACCTTGGAGCCTGCTTTCCCCTTCCATGGCTGCGCGTTCGCGTGCGCTGGCGCGCACGGGTGTAAGACGCCCTTCAGGGGGCTCAGAACCTGCGCTTTTCAAGGTTTTGGGCTTTTGGGTATGGCTCAACACCTTCTGGGATTGTCTTCGTTTCTAGCAGCGGTGGGCACGCAGTGAATGCGACTTATGGCAGTCGGTGGAACCAAGGTTCGGTAGCGTCGAGAGGTTTGAGGAGACGGTGCGGACAGAGGTGGGTGTAGCAGTAGCAGACTAGTCCGAAGAGTCGGTTCTGCAGGGCAAAGCCTTGGCCCGGGCCCGAGAGCTCACACGCACTCCCAGATCCTGGGCCCAGGTGCAGCGAAGTCTTGCCGACCAGCTTTCCAAGGAGATCCTTGGCTCTTGACCGTGTCAGCTTTGGTTTTGAGTAGGCCCTTTTGCATATCACTCACATACTTGACAGCAAACCACGCCCATGTGTCAAGAAGCGGCAGGATCAGCTTAGGATTTTCACTTTCTCCCAAGTCGCTGCGTCAGCGGTTGCTGAGCTATCAGAGCAAGGGACGAGCCCTTCATGCCTGTTTTGCTGGTTGTACAAGGGCTGTCGGTTCTGCTAAGGTTGCTGAGAGTTGTTTTCGCACTGGCTCAGGTTCCGTTGCTTTGGCATTTCATGGATACAGCATCTGAAAAACTTCACCAGCACGGAATCGTGATTTGGAGAGGTGCTGCCCGTGAGTTGGTCCGGGGCCTAGGTTGGGGGCTTGGTGTTTTGCCGGTGGCCTTCTTCGTTACAGCACAACTCACGCACCTGCTGCGACGCAGACGTGCTTGGAGATGTTGCGATGTAGCGACCAACTGTTTCATTCTTGGAGTATGCATCCTGATCTTTGTAGCAGCATTGTATCTGGAGCAGCATTGCTGGATATTTGAGAAGAATTTCTTCCCAGACGACGACGGTGATGTGCTGAGATTTCAATGGAATTTCCTTCCCGGCACAAGCTTGTTCGCTTTAATCTTTTTCGTTCTGGCTGCCATGCTGTCCATGGGCCGGAGACATGCCAATTGCGTTAAGCCTACTTCAGTGCAACCGGAAGGGCAAACGAACCAGTCTGGAGCAAACCTGACACCGGCGAACCAGGAAGCTCAATTTGCGAGGCCAGCGTCGCCCCAACTGCCTGGCGTTGAACCGCTATAGAAGCAGTGCTCTTGTGCTCTCGCGGAGTGTGGTTGGAGGCTTTTGATGTTCTCCAAGGCGCTGCTCCGTCAAAACGATGGCACCGACGAGGATTGTCATCTGGGTCCGAGGCTGGTCTTCTCCTGAAATGGCATCGGGTTGGCTCAATCGTGATGAAATTTTCGAAGTGTCCCGGAGTCCCATCAAATCGGGGATCGGGAAGATTCTGAGCTGAAATTCTTGACATTTTTCGTATCGCAAGATCTGGCTGCTAGAGTGGACTCAGATCTATTGACTTCCATGAATCATCAAGAAAGAGCCCGGCGAAGGGAATTCTTCAAGACCATGCGCCCCAATCTCACAACCACCTGTAGTTTCTAAAGCAACAGGTTCAAAACCCAAAGTCTGAACTTGACACGCCTTTGTGATCGCAATAGCAATAATCAATTAGGGGCGCGAATGAACGCAGTAAGACCATTAGTGCCGCCGTGCGTTGCAACGCGCATGCCGCGTGGAAGCCACGCTGCAAGTCGACAGAAATCCTGGCCGAAAGCTTTCCACGGGTTGTCCCGAGTTTAATTCCCATTCGCCCGTCGGTCACCCGGCACAAAGAATCCAAAATGGATGAAGTTTCCGGCGTCATACCCCCAATTGATTCCCATACCAGCGGCTCAAAACCAATGTTTTGCGCGGCACATCTCTCCAACATGCGACTAGATAGTCGCTTCCGCTCCGCATGTTTGGTGGCTGCACTAAGTTGATGATTTGCATTCTCTCCAAGCGCACGGGTAGTAAACGACGAGACTATCGCCCAATTGAACCTATGGATCGTCAGGATCTAGCAATCCGTTCTACTCTTTGTCGATAATTTTAACGCTACGCGACCCGCCTCGGCCTGGCCCAGCGCAGCCCCGTGAGCATGTGCATGGTTGCGGGAAGCTCTGCAGCTGCGCAGGGTCACAGAGGCAGTTTGGCCAGGACGCATGTAGCCGCCTCATGCATCAACGCCAGATGCTAGAGCCTATAGACCCGAGACCCTACACCCTAGACCCTAAACCCTAAACCTTAAACCCTAGATGCTAAACCCTAAACCCTAAACCGCATGCCCAACAGAAGCATGCCTAGCGCGACGTGCTGCGCACCGGGTTTCACACGCACTGTGACCACGCAGAAATGAGTGGCGCTGAGAGCTTGGGGTGCAACCCTGCACCAGTGGGCCGGAAGAGGGGAGGGCGGGGGGGTTTGGGGGGTCCTTGTGTGTCAAGGCCAAAATTGCCCTGGTCCTGTTGCGCCCGTCCGCGCCGCCACGCCCGGTTTGCCTCGGGGGGTACCCATTGCAGGAAAACGTCGAAAAAAAAGGGGTGCAAAACGGGCCGCTAAGGAGGGAATTAGAGGTGGGGAGCCTGCTTTGTGCCACCCAAATATCTACGGCCCGAAACCTCGGCGGCTCATCATGATGGAATTTCCCCTTATGAATAAATGATTGATTTTGCAATCATTTCTCTTTTT